TTGCTCTTTGAAACAGAAACTGTCAGCTGAAACCAAAACTGAAACCTCGATATTTATCTATATTTATCTTTTTTTTATGCAAAAAGTTCTCAAACGAGGAGACGGTTCACCTGATGTTAAGTGAATACCGCCGTCCATGGACATCTGCTACACCCGAGGGTTACAGATGCGTTGACAACCTTTTGCAAATTGGGCTCCGGCTACCTCACTCACCAGAGGAAACGCGAAAGTATTTGTCATACTTCCACTTTACGCTGGTCTTCGGTAAGGTCGTGGTACTTACCCGGAAGGGCCTGCCCATTCGTGCAACAGCCGCGGCTGCTGCGTGGCCCTACCACCGTTAGATTATCCACCGATTATCTCGATTATTATTCAAGAATATCAGACTTTGAACAGGGTCCACAATTTACTCCGCGAAGTAAGTACTTTATTGGAATTTTAAGCCATTAATGGCATTATTCAACTAACATCCGAGTTAGAAGCGCGCACTGTGCGCTTCTAACTCGGTAACAAATAGACAAATAGACAAATAGAAACTCAAGCCTTCTCGGTAAACAATAAGACGAAATTATGGCTACGTCTGAACTTTGTGAGTGCATATTTAGACCTCATTAAGTTGCTGCGTACTTTTCCTACAGTTTACTGATTAACTCAATCGAGGAGGAGGAGAATAAATACTCCATACGTTTGCTGCGTTTTTGAGGACCCTACCCAAAGCGTAAAACGGGACCCTGTTACTGTCTGTCTGTCTGTCTATCTGTCCGTCTGTTATCAAGCTATATCTCATGAACTGTGATAGTTAAACAGTTTCAATTTTCACAGATGATGTGACTAATTGAAGACTATTATAGAACATTGAAGACTATTATACCGGTATGTTATATTGTAAACTGATATTTTTGAAAAAGAACAACTGTTGAGTTTCTTGCCGGTATCTTCTCAACAGAAACTGCTTTCCGAACCGGTGGTACCATACGAACCTATACATATATTTTTTATGTAAAATTTGACGATTCATAAGAACGCGCGAGCGTCTATTTGAATAAAGATATTTGATTGATTGATTGATTAGAGGCTATGTTTTTTTTAAATAAGGCTTCAACGCCTTATTTACAACAACTTAGTTCCATCCGATGCTAACTGGTTTAGCAAACCATCTTCAGTAATTTTTATGTTTTAACAATTACGTATTGGTGTAAACGGACAGGTTTTATGAACATAATATAACAGAATAGTGTGTTTTCCCATATGTTGGTGACCCACAATTTTACATAAAATTGGCTTGTATTGGAGATTCTTACAATACTTTTTCGGAGGCCAATGCCTGCGCCATAAACGCTTACCTTTGGCACAAAGTTAAGTTTAAATAAAAATACTTTCGAAACATCAAATATTACCCAATAAGTCTTAAAACTTTCAGAAAAATTCGATAAAAGTTTAACAGTGGAACAGGCCTAGGTCATAAAACTAATTTTTAAAACGATCGAAAAAGTTATTCATGTTACTTTACCCCACCAAGGTTAAAAACAAAAATGAAAGTATGATGGCCTGTAAGTGAACTTACTGGCACAAAAAACATAGTAATCAGCCTTCAAATATAAAAATCACTTCCCAATCTTATGTATTACTGCCCAAGCTATGTACAGCTAGTTATCCAAGGAAGCCATTGGTACAATTATATATCCTTTAGAGTTCGAGAGTTTATTATAAAGGTACTCTATGCATTGTCCTAAACTACTCATGTTGATGTTGTTAATGATGATCAAGTTGATCACATCGATATTGAGAAGCACTTATTGATTTAGTGTCGGTAGAACCGTATCACAAATTATTATAATGACTTTTATGATTATGTACGATGGGGGAAGCGCTAGAAACGAAAAACGATAGTATTATATACGATAATAAAATATTGACATATTAAAGATAATTCATCTTCTATGTTACCCCATTTTTTACCTAACATCTTTTATGTGACATGTATGTGTACATTGTGTAATTTCGGTCAATATTTTCGAAAACATCTTAACCTTTACAACAAAAGTGGCTGTTCAGTATTTCATCTTGATATTGGTTAATCAGATATTATAACGTCAGCTCTACACCGATCACTTTAAAGTATTACACGCTCAAATGTGTGGGCGTTCGGTTTCAATTCAATATACTCGAACTTTTGTCCAAATCCCAGTGCCGGCACCATTAATATTGTTAATTTCTTTGAAATAAATTATTTATTTTAAACGGATAAAGAATGTTTGTCTAGTTTAGAGCGTATGACGAACAATGAACGTTGAGGGTTGCGCTTGGACCTGAGATAGTGATAATAGGGTGTATACGTATGTACCACGAACAAATATCAGATCATCTCTTGACGGTAAACGGTAAACATCTTTGCGACTTTTGGGGTTATTAGCAATGGCAAAAGCTGTTCGCAAGTGATCAGAATAGTTCACTTTTCAGAACAATCTTTTGCCTGCGGCCTATGAGCGTGTAGCAGTACCTCTGTAGTCAAAGGCGCTGAAAAACGAACTATAGAAAAATTTACTAAATCTATTTTTCTTAAAAAATAACAATGCACGCTCATAAAGTTGTGTTCGTCGTTCTTATTAGATTAAAATTAGGGTTTAGTCTGCATTTAGTTTAAAATAAATTTTTTGAAGCAGCGGGATTCAAAACTGTGAAAATATTTAATTAATATAATTCAAAATTTAAAACAATTAAAGTAAAGCGCTACCTATATAAGGAATTTAACGATTTGAAATGAATATTTAACCCACAGAGACACCAGCCAGACACGGTTAAAAAAAACAAATTGTGTTCTATTGAGTATGCGCCGCCGCGCTCTTCGTAAAGGTCGAAAACCTCGTCGACAATGGCTGGAGATGGTTCCACTATTTAATCACCGCTTAAAATCCCAAATTTGCAGTAATTAATAAAAAAAAACCTTCCAACATTTGCTTGTTTAGATTTATGGTCATTGTTGTTACTTTTAATTACATATTATTATATTACATAATGCTTATGTGTAAATGAATTTCTCCTTATATCACAATAAAGTGAATTTCAGCTTGAAAATTTGCAATAATTACTTTATTCAAGTAGTCACTAGATTTAAAAAAAAAATTAATAAGTACTTAATTCTCGTATACTTAAAATATTATACATTACACATGCGTCATATGATTACAAATATAGGACTGCCCTTGAATTGTCAAAAAAGTAAATAGCAATGACCTCGACACACTGAGGCCATCCATTAGAAGTTTACTATTCAGCGGGCAGGTTAGATTAGGGCACTATTATTATGCATAGTCCGCATTTTATGAATGCATTATTAAAAAATAAGTGGAACTAGAATTGCCGGCTAGTTTGGTTTGATAAGGTGACGTCATCATCATCTGGGCCCCTAGTTTGAGGTCAGATGGAGCTGTGAGCGTCGACGCCGACCCACAAATCTACAGACACAATAAATTCGGCAACGTACGGTGCGAAACGACGCGGGTCAATGAACTGTTGACGTATTTAAAATACGCACTAAGTGCCTTATCGCGAATGTAGTACGGCGCGCAGCGAGCAGAACGAGCATGCTGTACTACATATGTTTGCAAAAATGGATATTTATAGACGCGCGTCCGTGACAGATGATTCTTGATACATATTTCAAAGGCCCTTACGGTGAGTCTGTCAGATTGTTTCTTTTATTTAAAAGTCCAAGATTTACAAAATAATGGTCTTTACTAAAAATTGTTTTAATGGAGTAATTTTGGCTAAACAGGTTAAAATGAACTATATGTCGTATCTTGTAACGTATCTCATTTTATGTAAACTTTGTGTTTTTATGAGAATAAATTCTTTAAACCTAATTTGAACATTTTGTTCTCGTTCAGTGTTCTATAGCCATTAGGTATAATAAAAAAGAAAATGTTTTAAAAATAAAAGTGTCAATATTGAAGATAGTGATGTGATGTTTATAAACATTCGCGTCGATTTTTATCGGTTGAGGGGAATAAATAAATACATTGAAGATCATTGGCTATTTTGACCAAAAATTTTATGAAATATAAACCCAAGCTACCGGAAACCGGGCGAGACCTCGTTTTAATGCCTATTGATATCAAGAAAATGTGAGAAAGGAAATGTGTCTGTCGTGCCGCTACACATAACATACTATACTGGCTCCTTTGTGCAGTAAGATTCGTCGCTGGGTACAAAGCGAATTTAAACGCGACTCCAGCCTCGTGTAAGATTCATATTCGCGGTGAAAGGGTCGCTTTAGAACCTTGTCCACACAAAGCGAGGCACCCGCAGTAGCCGCTCTACCTATCTACCCACATATGCATCATGCGGCGGACAGGCCCGAGTTTCTTACACATACATGCGAAGTACGAAGGCCAGTTTTGTGTATGTGTCGCGAATACATACGGCTTCAATAATCAGCAGGTGAAGCGAAATAAAGTAAGGGGTTATTGCGATTAACTCCTTTATCCCTTCGTTTCCATATCAAAGAGTAATGAACCTTGTTTTCTACTATTGGGTATTGTCGATTGGTGACCGTGTGATAATTTTAATCGCATAGTTGTAGTGTACTGTAATGAAAAATGATATTGAATTTAAATTCCTTATTAAATTATTTATAATTTATAGAAAGTACCTATTACTTATATTTTTGTTCGTGAATTTTTGCGGTTTTGTTAAATTAGGTATTCTAATTTGTACCTTATAAGTTTGCAACAATATCGAACGAAACCGTAATTGTTCTAATTAGATAAAAAAAAAACACACGAAGATAAAGCACGGCAGTGGACAGTTGCGATACTTATGTTGACATTTAGATTGCAGTTTCGTTATTGACTTTTCATTTTGATTTATTTATTATTAACAATTGTTATTTATTATTAACATTTATTTATTATTAACAATGATTGCAACAAAAAGGCTGAGACTGACAGTGAATCGATTACGAGTAACGAAGGTCAGGGGGTTTGCAAGTGTGAGTGCGTATGCAAGTATGCAAGCGAGCTCGGTGCGGCGTCGTTGCTGCTGCACGCCTGCACCGCCGGTTGCAACACCCTCCCCCCTTCGCTCTCGGCTTCTCGCTCGCCGCCGTCTTGCCGCTAGCCTGTCTCACCTCGCGGCCGGCAGCCTTGCGCGACGCGCCGCGCTCTTTCACATTCAAAATTATTCGCAACCATTGCAAAAACTCTCTGTGCAATAAAAATATCTTATCATTTTGCAGCGGTCGCAATAAGTCTTTATACAGAGAGAATTTTTATACTTTAGAAATAAATTTTAGTAACTTTGGAAAGTTTGAATGCACTCCTCGTTGCATCAAGTCCCGCGCGCGTCGTTATGAGAACCCCGTACTGGCGGTCACGTTGACGTCGCGCGGTGCCGCCATATCTGTCTCGGCCACCAAGTAGCAAAATTAATAGGTAATTATTTTCGTGTACAGTGCCTCAGGTTGATTTTGTCGTTCAGTGATTATGTGTTACAGTGTTTTCTATCTATAGGTTAGCTCTATGCTCGTTCCAATTGGAATCTTTTTCGAAATTAGGGTGCGCGCCGGCCGGTTCTTATCGGGTGCAATGCAGTTGCACTCTCAACTTATTGCAGTTTCGCATTCGGTAAAGTTTCATGCGCGGAAAGTTACTAGTGTTTGTTTTTCGGTACAGATGGATTGTAACAGTGTTTTAAAGTGAATTATTCTTCAAAAGTGGCATGTGTTATAGTTTGTAAAGAACTTCACAGTGTACTCTGTATTATTTCGGTCATTGACCGCTGGATTTCGCATCTCATATTTTGTTAGTGTCACTGTTGTAGATTACCTTATAATTTAGATTTTCGTTTTTAGGCTCAAAAAATTGTTTCACTTCACTAGAAGAATGCGATGACCGGCACATTCGCTTTTTGAAAATTTTACCTTCACCCGGATGGAATGAGGAGTGCACAGTCCTATTGTTTCACAGTTTCATATGTTTGAACATCATTTGTTTTTTTGTTTTTCGGACGATTAGAGAGTTGTCATTTTCTTCCAAAATTACAAAAATTGCAAAATAAGGTAATTATGATTTTCTTTCTTCATTATGTAGTGCTTAATTAATTTTTAAAGTTATCACTACATAAAAAAACAATTGGTACCGCTCTCACGCGTGTCTCGATATTATAATGTATGACATCATCTATAGGCGAGCCATGGGACGCTGAGTTCTGAAGGCATTATTCCTAAAACTTTGCTTTAAAGTTCAAAATGTGATGTAAGTGAGCTCCAGTAAGTGCAGTGAGTGTACCAATATTTCATAATTGTTCAGAATGGCGGAGGGTAATGGAGAGATATCTGTTGAAGAAGTCCCCGGGAAAGACTCCGAAGTTGGCCGTACACCAGACTACCGCAAACTCATTGATTATGGCTTGGATCCTAAGGTAGGAGAAAACTGCAAATTCCATATTCCACATTCCATGACTGTAGTGTCTATCAAATATTTAACAAATATACAGTAAATTATTTGGGTAAAATATTTTTGCCTCCTTGCTTCTTTGTAGACACATCGATGCTATCCATTTGAGCATGCCATTTTCTGTATAGATTAATTAGGTTATTCTTTATTATCTATTCATGATAGAAATATGGCTCTACTATTTGTCTTTTTTCTAATTAATATTGTAATGGATTTTTTAAATTATATTATTATTACACTGGACTTGGAGAATTAAAATTGAATTGGTAATTGAATATAAAAAAAATTGCATGGAAAAGTATTGAATGCCACATTATTTAGTATCAGCACATGATAGGGGCCAATTGCTGTTGACCTAAGTATTATCTGGGCATAATAAAAGTTTAACTGTCTTATTAGAATCTAAGTAGACTAATGCAATATTGATCCACTTCACTGGCTATTTTCTAATAAGAATCATCTTGGAAATTGTTATAGATAAATATATATTGAAGTTCTAAAAGCAAACCATTTATCAATTTCCAATTTATAAATAAAAATATTTCTATGATTATTTAGCATGTCTCCCAGTCACATCTATTTTCTTTATCCAGTGTCTGGGTGTTTCATATTTTTACAAAAAAGATAACAGTACGGTTTGCATATCTTGTTGCTAGAATCAAATCTTATCATAAACATGGACCACATTCTAAGAATTCATGTCTCATATTTGCCATATAGTAACTGTTGTTGCCAGTTAGAAAAAGTTTTTCCAAACAAACATTTTATTTTTATTTTTAAGTCCTAATAAAACATTTTATGGAAAATAATCAGTTTATACAATTAACTGCATTTTCTTAATGCTTTGGTTGCACTGATCTCTCACCTTTATTATCTATGCACCTTTATTGAGTTTATACTTAAGAACCTGGGGTCTAAATTTATCTCTGTAACAATATGTAAACAATTTTGTTTCAGCAAAATATTTTCTTAACATGCACTATTATAATTATCAAAAGATTTATTATTCGCCTACTTTGTTTAAAAGTAATGTCTCATTTTTTAAAAGGTTATGGGCAAAACAGGAAATAAAAAAAAAGTTAGAAAGATTCACAATTGTTAAACAAAAGCCTCTTGACATTTTCGTTCTAGATTTTATTAATCTGTGCCAATTACTGACATTGTTGAACCTTGTTTCAATTGTTTTTTTTTTTTTTTTTTTTTATTACAATGTTTAAAAGTAGAAAATGTATTTTTAAAATTCAATTTACTTAATTTTTTTTTAAAACTAGACTAATTAAATGATGCGTATCCGTATCAATTGTTTTTGAATATCGCGGTCATTGGTTTCTTTAACATTTCAGGTGGCTGCTAAGCTCGACGATATTTATAAGACTGGAAAGCTGGCGCACGCAGAGTTGGACGAGCGTGCGCTAGATGCCTTAAAAGAATTTCCATCCGACGGTGCTTTAAGTGTTCTTGGACAATTTTTAGATTCAAATCTTGAACATGTATCTAATAAGAGTGCCTATTTATGTGGGGTTATGAAGACCTATAGGTGAGTGGCGGTCGCTTTGTGACTTTACTTTCCGGCCCGTACTAAACGTTGGACGGTGTCCAAATTGACGGTAGGGGTGCGCGCTATGTGGGTCGCTGTGTCGAATATTATTTTTTTCGCCACCCGCTTATCGCGGGCCGCGGTTTGCGAATTATCTTTGCGGAACGCGGAGCGCCATCTAGCGCGGCGTTGCGGAGTCGGGAACGCCACCGGGCTCTATGTGGTTCAAGGCGATGTCCGATTCCGTGGACGCCGGCTAAAAGCGTTCGTATGACGCTTACGATGCACGGCCCGCCCGCGGGTTAATCCCCCGCTAGTGGTCGTGTGCGTTGGGAATTTCGTATAAGTACGTACCGTACGTTGTGACCCGTGCCGGCTGTACGGTGTCTCGGAGATCGGCCTCTGGATTTTTTTTTATGTGAGAAAGTGCCAAACGAGCTGGCGGTTCACCTGATGTTAAGTGATAACCGCCTACCCATGGCCCTATCACAGTTACACAGTTTCTTTTGCTATAAATGATATAATAGATCTGTTCTTTATTCTTACACTCTTTTGTCACAAGTTTCGACTGATGGCCAGTGATCACAACCGCCCGTGGATATCTGCAATAAAAGATGTTTACGGCAGACTTCCACGGGCAGTTGTGCAGTTGCCGAGATATTGGCTTCGGCGCAAGAGGTCGTGGGTGCGATCCACAGTGACTCACAGACAATCTGGGTGTCCACGTTAAGTTTATGTATGTAAATGTAAAGGAATGTTATCCTACAGAAAGGGGGCGATATACAAATATAAATATCGAAGTCGTCGTTACAACCTATATTCTAGAGGATTCGTCTATATTATAGAGGATAACTTTTTTTTAATTAAACATTCACATTCTTTAAACATCAAAATTTACCCGGGTTATAAATTTTTCCAAAACAAACAATTTTAGAACATCCTTACGTATAAAACTGTAACGTAAAGTTCATTTGTAAAGGTCACAAAGCATATGAATAAGTTGAATGAATTTAAAAGCGATAAAACATACTGATATAAGGAGAGACTTGTAATGCGACGCTGTGGCAACGAATGAGTCTCAAAAATATTTTTTTTATCATGGATTTTTTTAACGTTTGTTTTTATTATGATTATTGGCAAGTAGCGTTAGACGTGTGTTCATTTATTGTCGCAGTTGTAACGCCGCGCTGTATAATGTCTGTCAAATGGTAACTAGATATAATTAATATTACTAGATGTTGATTCTTTAGGAAAATATTGATTTGCTCTCGATCGTGTTCCAGACAGAAAAGCAGGGCGGGCGTGCAGGGCGCGCCCGCGCTGTCGTCCGCTGTCCAGGTCAAGGGCCCCGACGAAGATAAGATTAAGCAGATCCTCGCGAGGACAGGGTACACGTTGGACGTGACCACGGGTGGGTCTGAAAATTGAGTTTTGATTGGAAGATTTTGAAATGATGACCTCGCGACTACTATCACCTTTCTAACAAGTCCTGTTGATGAAGTATAAGAGTCCGCCCACTTAACCAAAAGATTTCCTTTTGATTCCGTGTCATCAGATGACCCACAGATTATGACCGAATGACTGACTCGACCAAAATTTGGTGCTTTAGTCAACATTGTGACAACAATATTGTGCATAAATGCGAGTTAATGCGTACAGATGAATTTGGCTCCGCAACAAAAGGGATTGCTTGAGGATCTGATAGATTTGATATCTTTAAACTGTACCGTGATGATAAAAGACGTAGGCGAGCCCTGAAGGAGTTGTTGGCGCGTTGTAGGTCAGCGCAAGTACGGCGGGCCGCCGCCCGGCTGGGAGGGCGGCACGCCGGGCGCCGGCTGCGAGGTGTTTTGCGGCAAGATCCCCAAGGACATGTACGAGGACGAGCTGATCCCGCTGTTCGAGCGCTGCGGCACCATCTGGGACCTGCGCCTCATGATGGACCCGATGACGGGCACCAACCGCGGCTACGCGTTCGTCACCTTCACCAGCCGCGAGGCGACGCAGCGGGCCGTGCAAGAGGTTGGTACGGCCGCCGCGCGGGCCGCCCCCCCGTTCGATGTTGCCGCCGCCGCCGCCGCGGGCCCACTGCCCGAGCTCGCGCCCGACTAGCCGCCGCCATATTGCTTTTTGGTCATTCCAAATTCGAAATCAACCGGCGCCATTCTAGAACGCCACTTTTTTTTATAAATCGAACGCCCTTTGAGGCGCAGACGCGCGTCGGGCGAGTTCGCGCAGCGGAGCGTTGGGTGTTGTTGATTGTCTGGAGAGTGGTAAACATTTTTTTCATCTGTCGCATCGGTTGCCTCCTTGCTCATTGTGGCTAATTATCAACCATTATATCTCTCTCTGTCGAGTGACGGGCCCGAACGCGTCTCTATACCTCATTTTCTCTCTCTCTTTCTTTGTTTCGATGATTACATAGACTTATGCAAATGTGCACATTTGGCAGAGCCTCGACATTTCGAATGAAAGTAATTACCACCCTCTTGGATACTTTATCGATTTTGTTGCTAAACTATTATATTATTATTCGATAAAGATTGATGTCATCTACTTAGTTTCAAAATTAATAAGATCAAAGTAATAATGAAAAATTACAATGAAGATAATTTTGAACTTTCCTATCGATTTAAATTTACAATAATTCCTTTCATTTGCTTGTTGATGCCAGACATATTTAAACACGGCTTGAGAAGCGACTGTGGATTCTCTCAGTAGGGTAGATGTCATAAATCTTTGCCTAAAATGGATGTTATCAGCACATCTGTCGATACGCAATGTTATTGCACAACATTTGCTGTTATATATGCGATCCTATCAGACTCAATTGGTGATACTAAATTGCCTATCTAAACGTTAAAATAAATATTATATCATTGTATAATTGGTGCATTATGAAATCTGAAAACGAAATTCTAATTTGACGTCTACTTTCCAGGTGACTCGCCGAATGTTTAAGTATAAATCCCATGAACGATAACCGATTCCATGCACAAAATTGACCGAACAACCGTTTTGGCGGCTTCCTGTACATTGCCCGCTATCGGATGAAATCGTTATCGAGCGGCGCTCACCACTATTGCTTGCTGCGTAGAGTTCAAATTCCCGTGCACATAACGAGTTCATCCATCGAAGCCGCCAAACGCGGGGCACACCTTGCAAGACTACCGCCCAATGTACACCCACCCGCAGTGGTTTTGCAAGCTCCCGACCATTTGCCTGTTAAAATGTGTTCACGGTCACACTTGGGAGATTTAGTCTTAAGCTTCTTTCATTTATAAAGCATGATTAATAATATATCCCACCTGCGGCGGCCATTTGCATCGCGCGTCGGCCATTTTGATTTTTCTTACTCGGTACCGCTGCGTAGTTTCACTTTTTAGCCTCTTTTGTACTATTGTCTGGCGATGTGTTGTCGTATATTATGATTTTGCATGCTCTAGCCGTAGCATACCAGTCTGCCATCGTAGCGCACTTGACGCCCGCAGCATACTTATCAGCATACGTATTCAATCGCCCGTTTGTTTCGGGCGTGGCACAAATCGCGATGCATACGGCCGCCGTCACTGTAATCACTGATATTGTGTAAATGTGCAAACATAACACCTATAAACTGATCTAGCCTCGCTTGTCCTGAGATATCATCCCGTTCTCTTTCTATTGCACCTCGTTCAATTTTGAGTTGCTTTAATTTTTTTTTTGGTCGTTACCATCACACTACTTGTACTCGCTTTTTTTTTTATTTTCACTTCATCAAACGGTCCACTTACAGGGTTAACTTTCAATTGGCTTCAAATTGTTCTCCGGCTGAGAATTTAATATATCTCAGGCTCTCCTCTTTGCTCCGTACAACACTTTTGGCTTATCATCCGAAGTACAGTTAACTCATCACGATTGGCTCTAACCGTTCACCAGCGCAGCCCCCTGGGCGCTCCGCCATTATCGATCGCGCGGCCGCCGGCCCGATCCGAGTCCCGGAAACGAATCAACCGTTTTCTTTTCAAAATTTTTTCCCTTGTTATTTTTCCCACAGCTCGATAATCACGAAATAAAACCTGGGAAGACTCTGAGAATTAAGATTAGCGTACCGAATCTGCGACTTTTCGTCGGCAACATTCCCAAGTCTAAAGGCAAAGAGGAGATACTGGAAGAGTTTGGTAAATTAACAGGTAAAGTGTCAATCGAATGAATTAAGGAGTTAGTTTTTTTGGGTTGAGTGCGTGGGGCTTGGTGTGGACCGCTGAGGGTGCCCCGCTTGCGTCCCGCTTGTCCCGCGTCCCCTCCCCCCCCCCCGCCGCCTCCGCCGGTCCCCCCCTCCCCCTACGCCCCGCCCCGCCGCACCCCCCGCCGGCCGACGCCCCCCCTCCCGCGCCGCCGCCGCCTCCCCCGCTCCCCCGCTCCCGCCCCGGGCTGCGGGCCCGGGCGAGCCCCGGCCCCCCGCCCATTGGCTATTCTCCCTCGAATTGTTCTTGCAGCTGAATGATTATGAAATTCGAAAGGGGAAAAAGATTGGCGTTACGGTTTCCTTTAACAATCACCGTTTATTCGTGGGGAATATCCCTAAGAATCGAGATCGGGACGATTTGTTTGAGGAGTTTACTAGGCACGCACGTAAGTCCTTGTCGAATTCATAATATGTGCTATTCAGTTCGTACGCGGACGGGCGAGGGGGCGTGCGCACAGCGCCGCTTCCTAAGTGCGCACGCGCAGACGCAAACACAAACGCGCACGCGCACGCGCAAACTAAAACGCAAACGCGCGCGCCCCCCCGGCCCGCTCCCCGCTTTCAAGTAGACTTGCAAAGACCGAGTGTTAACCGATTGGCCTCCGCCTCGTGAATGCTCACCGGCATTGTGAACGGAGAATCTTGCTGTTGTTCTCTAATAGACTTAGTACCTCTTCAGTATATGTTCTCCTGAGATATCGTTTGATTTGCTTCATATTTTCGTAGCGTTGGAGGAATGAACTTGAGCGAGGGGAGGGAAGCTTGTCACGTTTATATCCGAGCCCGCTCGCCCCATTCGCTCCGGCTATATGAGCTTTGTATGATTGCAGCCGGACTCGTTGAAGTGATTATATATAGTTCGCCCGATGACAAGAAGAAAAATAGAGGGTTTTGTTTTTTGGAATACGAGTCGCACAAGGCGGCGTCGTTGGCCAAGCGCCGCCTGGGCACCGGCAGGATAAAGGTGAGAGCTCAATCCGCAATTATGCTACTTGTTATAGCTCTCGGGTCATTGACACGATTTTTCACTGCGCGTTTATTCGCAACAGTTTCTGTTGTTGAACGAATGGGCAGACTCACAGAAAACCGTCTTGAAGTGTGTAGTATTAAACTTTCGCGTTTCGTCTGGTGAGTGAGGTACCCGGGGCCCACGATGCATTTAAACATTTTGCTGATAATTTAAACAGTTTAAAAAAGTTTCTTTGTTGTTGTTGTTGTTGGTAAAAAGGTGTTACCTTGTTTAATTGAGTTATTACTTTTAAGAAGGTACCATAGTAGTTACATTCTGTATGAACATTTAAAAACATAATGCTTTTTGGTTATTTCTGTAAATAAATAAATTTATACGGAAACATGGAATATAACCTCTTTGTATTCATGAGGCAAGTTCATAGTGAAGTACAAAATTTCAAAAATATGATTTTTTCAAGGTTGGAGATTCGACAATCCCATACATCTCGTAATCACTATCTTTTAAAAAAAATAAACACACAACACGTACAATCTCGTTCCTTAGGTTTGGGGCTGTGATATAATAGTCGATTGGGCCGACCCTCAAGAAGAACCCGACGAGCAGACCATGAGCAAAGTAAGTTATTGCAACTTCTCTACTTTTCGGGTATTTATATTTATTATAACACGACAGTATTTGACACCGCTATTGGGGTTTCATACCATGGTTTTTTGTTTTTGTCTTTTTAAACATTGCCCTTACGTAAGGATGGCAGTATCCTGTGTTTTATAAACATAAATGTCTCGAGGAAAAACACCCAGATCCGAAACTACTATAATCTGTGGAACACACACTTGTCCCGTGTGGAAATCGAACCCACGACTATCGACGCCGAGGCCAATAAACTTGGCAATTGCGCCACTTTATACTTATTCGTTGTCGCCGATTAAGTCACTTGCTAAGTACGAATATATCATAGACGTCGTATGTTCCATCAAATTGCAGATACGTTTGTAAGAATAGGTGTGCCTTTCAGAATTGGCTTCTTTGCATAAATAGTTATAAATTGACCCTTTAAGTGCATTTAATTTCGGTATCCTAGGTTTTTCGTTTTTATTCTGACGACGACCCTTTGGCGTGGGGAGTAGTGAACCTCCCTCTTGCGCCAAAGGCTGTAGGTTCGATCCCATCTACTGGAAAAATGTTGTGTGATGAACATAGCGTTTTTCCAGTGTCTGGGTGTTTGAATATGTATATATTTACAAAAGAAAAGTATGTTTATCAGTTTTCTATTACCCCCCATAACACAAGCGTTGCTTAGTTTGGGTCTTAGAGAACGTTGTGTAGAAATGTGTCCGGCAAATGTTTATTTATTAAAATCTGTCCGTCTGTCCCGTACCAGGTGAAAGTGTTATACGTCCGAAACTTGACGCAAGAGATCACCGAGGAGGCGCTTAAAGAAGAGTTCGAGCGCTTTGGCACCGTGGAGCGTGTCAAGAAGATTAAGGATTACGCGTTCGTGCACTTTGAGGATCGGGACTGCGCAGTAAAGGTGCCCGTGCGATTACTGTTACGCGCTTGTGTGCACAATATAAAATAACAGTAACATACGTGTGGCACAAATAGTCTAAAATGAACTGAAACCAGTTGATCTGTGCGAAGTTTCCGCTCAGTAAAGTAATCGATTGGTAACGTAATTATCAACAAATAAGTATTTATCAATAAAGGTATCTCATTTTGAAGAATAATGATAACAACTTCAATCTACTTCTTTGTCTTTTAAGGTAATTGTGGATAGATGGCATTATAATAAATTTTTAATAACCAACGTTAAATGGTGGAACAACACAGAGAAAAAATTAGAAATTAAAATTGAATCTGTGGAAATGTTTTAATACGTCGAGTAATATTTTTGGTCCTTTGAGCAGGACATTTTCTTTCCGAGGTCGATTTTATCAAAGCCAATTCCATTTGCAATTTTCAACGTCCGGGGTAAAATGAAATTGCTATGATGTTGGGTGTTTAGAATATGGATTTAATTGTCTAATCACAAAGATTCCCTGATTTTCTTCATCGCTGAGCACATGATAAGTTAGGACTTAGAATTGCAATTAAAAATATTCGCCACCGTGATTTCAACAGCCCAAATATATTGAAATAAAAGTGTGTCTGGACATCTCTGAATGTTATAACCTATAAGATTAAATCCAGGTCCAGGTATATACATACACTGCAAGAAGTCAAAAAGTAGCTACCAATTTTCGGACTAGTATTGACGTATGTAAAAAAAGTTTAATTTAGCAATGTATTACGCGTGCACAATAACATGAGGCTCGCGCGGAATGCATCGCCCCGATTTTTTTGTACAACGAGCGACGAAAAATTGACCGAAATTCCGAATAGTCTCGGATTACGACGAACGTAAGACGGGACGCGTTGTATACTGTACAAGCAACCCGTAGTATGCACGCGTAGTATACGCCTATGAAATACTCGAATTATCGCACTTTTTGGTTTAGAAGACATTTAAAGTGCGTGTGCTACAGATGTTAGGGGTTGCAGAGAAGTAATTGTAAATGTTTTTTTTTGTCTGCAGGCGATGCAGGATTTAGACGGCAAGGAGATGGGTGGTGCGCGGCTGGAGGTGTCACTGGCCAAGCCTCCCTCCGACAAGAAGAAGAAAGAGGAAATCTTACGCGCGAGAGAGCGTCGCATGACGCAGATGATATACGGCCGCGGCGGGTAAGCGGAATGAGTCTTAAAAACATTTTTATAACGAGCCCATGATTTGACGAGCTCATGGATTCCACCGAGTGCTAATCTTAGATATCGTTGATTATTCAAATAAGGAATATTGAAGCCCGCCAAATATCTGATAAAGAAACAGTTCATTATCATATTTTCAGATATTTTGCGCGTACATATTGTTGAAGTTCTCTTATAGCTGTTTCCAGAGTTTGTAACGAAGAAAAGTGCTTTCAAAGTTTGGTTTTATAATTTTAATATTTTTTTGCAACTATTCAAGTTACAGGTGATTGTGAGTGTCGATATTTAAAAGAAATATTTTCTGTTTAGTATTATGCGACTTCTTGTTGCCGGCTAAGTCAATTTTCGATGGATTGTTTATTATTAAATTATGTTATAATAGCAAAGATTTTTTTAAATGAGAGCCATTGTATGTTAGTGTACAAATATCATTTTCAGTGGGCGTGACGTGAGTGTTAAAAAAATTATGTATCAGTAACGTATCAATGACTATCACACCGTACCCGGCCCGTTTAAATGGGGGCGCGCGTTATTTATTGTTACGGAAGAAGCGCCCATTGTCAACAAAGGGAATTATGACGGGAGCGTGTGCAGACGTGTTTACGGGTGGGGTCGGATAGCGAGGGGTTGGGGGTGGGGAGCACACGCGGGCCTTTTGTGCGGGGGCGTGTGGTAACGTCGCTGTGTAACATTCAGATTTGATTGGTGCAGCTGCTCGCCGGTGCACGGCGCGCTGCGCGGCCGCACGCCGCAGCCGCAGCCGCGCCCGCCCGCCGCGCGCGGTGACTACGGTCAGTACGCACGCGCACGCACACGCGCTCACGCGGACACACACTCACTGACGCGTACACGCACGCGGCACGCATTTGTTGTGCGTGCGTGCGTGCGGGGGCGCTCCGCTGCGCTGGATCGATTTGGTCTCGTATCCCTGTCTCATGTTTTGTATTATTTGTGTTATAGACGGTAATTAGTTTTTATATTTTACATACATGTAAATGCCCTGTTAAGAGATATAATTGCATACATAGGTCTATGTTTTTTAGGATTTAAGAAATTTATTTTCCCTATAAGAATAAACGTTCACTTAAATGAGAATACAATGTTATAATTCTTGTACAATCGGAAAGTTGAAGGCCTATGTTTTATGACAGTTCTGTTTTTTTTAATGGGTTTACAATGTATAGAACATCGCGAATGTTGAACCGGCCAAATCCATCCAGCGTAGAAGGGAAAACGTGATGAACATGTGCACAGAGTGCGGTGAAGTTTTCATGCCCTTCACCTATCTCACTGTGAATATCGTATCGTTTTGCCACACTTACACATACATATAAACACCCTATATATACATACATACAATATGACGAAATATCTTGTACACGGTGTGGTCTCCACGCGCACATTCGCAAACTTGCTATCGATCCCTTACTAACAACATGGCTGCGACTGTACAATGTAGAGTACGCTCCCAAACTCTGTGAGACAGAACTAAGTAAACCTTAATTAAGTATTGCATCGTCGCAGCCACGAAACGTGTATCACTAACGCTACTTTATAGGCTAGACAATAATAAAATGCTAGGCTTAGGACACTGCATGGTTTCGGACTAAATAAATCCTTAGAGATTACGAAGAGGACCACCCGAGACAGGTTTGCGTTGAGTTGGCAACGGGGCACGGGAATGGGGGAATGGAGGGGGGGGGGGGGGGGGGAGAGTGCCGACAGTGTTTTGTGCAATTAACCAATCTAACCGTTTACCCAGTGCATGCTTCATGATTTAATCATTCATCACAGTGTTGGAAAGTCTGTTGCCGAGCGGTGCGAGTGTCCCACGTTGCTTGCCACGAGCTAGGTTACCGGTGGTGGGGCGCGATGGCGCGAAACATTTGGACAGGGCACGCGGAATAATATGGATGCGTCTAAATTCGAAATTGCCGCGCCGCCGTTGTAGGGGACCAGAGTGGGGTGGGTAGGGGAACATGTGGAGGGGAGGGGGAGGCGAGGGATCGAGGTGCATGCCGTTTCCGCGTGTCTGACACTTGCTTCAGCCGATACATATGTGTGAGTAAGCCCACGGAGCGAGAAAAGCGCGGGCCTGGGAAAGCGTACGCATGTGTTGTCAAATTAAGAGGCGCTCGTTCTCGACGCGCCCCGTACCGCCAGCCAACGGTAGCTTGTAAGTTAGCGTTAGTTTAGCTTAGCCTCTAAAAGGCCTGTGTTGTGTGTTTATAGATTATGATTACGACTATTACGGGTACGGGGATTACCGAGGTGGCTACAATGAGCCATTTTACCGGTACGATGAGTTCTATTTTGATTACGCGGGGCCACCGCAACCGTCCGCCGTCCGCCAGCCTCCCAACAGAGCGCAACCGGTGGGTCCCACACACACTAACTAATGTTATCATATTATTTTACTAGTCACTAGACGCTGTACTCATCATTACCTCTCGAATTTTGAGTTGCCAAATTTTCTCCATACGTTCTCGCATTTGAGTATTTTTTCTCTTTTTTTCTAATTACTATTATACGATATAATTTTTTTTGGTTGGAACCCATCCTAGAATGGAGTCAGTGACTCGGTAAAGAACGGTAGTGTGTAGGCCTGACGGTGGTGACCGATAGCGGCGGCGGGGGCGCGTCGCGCACTCTGAATCGTTCGACTCGTGATGTGTGACGCGTGACGTGTGACGCGTGACGTGTGACGTGTGACTCGTGACGTGTGACTCGTGACGTGTGACTCGTGACGTGTGACTCGTGACGTGTGACTCGTGACGTGTGACTCGTAACGTGTGACTCGTGACGCGTGTCTAGTGCGCGGCGCGCCCGCACTTGCTGTCGAGTGTGCGAGTCGGTAGGGGGCGTGGTGGCCGGTCGGCGATCTCACCATCAGGTCTGCACGGCCGGGGCCACTCCGACTAACGCACCCGCATCACCTTGCATCACCCGCATCACCCGTATCACCCGTTCGCTGTCCGCCGGACGCCATTCCGACACCGCTTCGCTTTCATCCCGCACGCCCGTCCCCGCATCGTAGAAGCTTCCCGCCGCCCCAGGCACTAACACGCCCATAACACGCTTGGAGCTTGGCAGCACCCGGAGCGAATTGCTTGTGGTCGCTGACACCCGTGCCAAATTGCATTGTTTGCCCGTTGCGAGCGACGTAGCGATTGTGTTAAGGTGACTTACTGATCCGCTTGGTAAATGCCCTCACTCAGGAAGACGAGCTCGCCCTAGGGCCCAACTCGCTTTACTACGACCTAACCGGAGGCATTCAGGTACCGGACTTCAATATGTAATGGTATATTTACCCCCTCGCCATAACGAACGTACCGTTCCGTTGTTGTTAGATTTTCTTTTGTACGTTTCATTAGACGTCCATTATATGTGTTGTCGTAGTGTTGCCGTATGCGTAACTCGTGCACTAGAGTCGCATTTCTATAGTAGCTTCGGTAACTAGGTACCTGATTGTTTCGTAATCGGACCCGTTTAAGGAATACAGTGTGAAGGTAAAACGGTTGACCGTTTTAGTAATGTGCCGCGGTGGGCCATACTTTACAAGCATGACATATACCATCCGCATTCTCTGTTTCGCTTTTGAGTATTCCCTGAATGTGTCGTAACGTCGTTTGAGTATTATATAGATAGATGTACTAGATTTCTACTTTTACCTTGCGAAAGTAACCAATAGAGTAAAAATGTTGATCGTACTCTGCTGCATAACTAGCGCCACGGCCCATTTTTAATAACAAAAGGCCCATTGGAAGGGAATGGCGTTAGTTTGACGGCTAAATTTTATAACTCTCTTACAATGCAAAATATGTTTTCTATACTTTGCGATATGACTTTTGAGAATGCTCGCGCTTAATCTATGTACGAGATTATTTTTTTACGTTTGCACGAATGAGGGGGCTGTTTTTTATTTTTTATTTTCAAATAATAATAATTGGTGTACCAATCGCAATGTGTAGAATTCTTTTTCGTTGTGGCCGGAATAATCAGCACGATTATTGAATGCCCAATGCTTTTTTAAAAAAAAGAATGTGCTATTTTTTTTTCAGTTTACTTTTTTAATCTATATTCTTTTTATGCATCTGTAATGTATGACATTTGCAGTTGTCAAACGCGTTTCGTGTTTGTATTGTTTTCGACTCGTCGAATTTTAATGACTACTGCAAGTGTCCTTTTACCGTTTAATCTCGCGCCAGCCTCGAACCGCCACCAGAAGTGTGTAACTGTCGCTCTACTCCCGGGCCCTCTATTGTTTTCTACGCAAGTTTTTTAATTCTGATCTGTGATCTGCAGACGCCTAGGCAACTGCTTCGTTTGAGTGACTCGTTTTACACTGTATAGTGCAGTGCACTTAATACGAAATTTATGGGTGTTATAGTAGTATATTAGACTTGTCTAGTATATAAATATAGAGGAAGTGAACTTTGCAGTCCTGTAAAAAGACGTTAACTATCCGGGTTAAGCCGAGTTTGTCTCAAATTTTTTTAAAAAATTATTAAATTAAAAAATGTCTATCTCCAATCGCTCCTCTTGAAGAAATTAATGTAGGGTGATGCAAGAAATGTGGGCTTCGAGTCGTACTTTGTTTTAGAGTCACGAGTGTAAGGCACCGTTTAGTGGATTGATGCAAATTCACTTGTACATGCACCAACACTTAACATGTTGATGGTTTTGGGCGTTGTTACAATAAATAATATGCCTATATACATAACGGTACGCACAAAGCACATGTATTCCATAACCGTTACGCACGGTACTAGAGTCGCTCGTTGCAGTTATGCAGGTCCGGAGACATAAATCAGAATTTGCATTTGAAATTGGAACGCGACCGGAGAACGGTAGGGGGCGAACGTTGCGGCCCTTACGGGGGCAGGGGAGGGGGGCGACGGTGGCCGCCGGTGGTGCCGCAGTTGCGGGGCGGGCGCGGGACTGACCGGTGGCGGACTGACTGGTGGCGCAGGGTGGGTCATGTGGGACGGGCGCGCGATGGGCGCGGCGCGCGGCGGCGGGCGCGGCTGGGGCCCGTGGTGGTGCGCGACGCGCCGCTCGTGGCCGCCGCACGCCCAGCGCCATGCGTGGCAACCCGCGCGCCAAGCCAAGTTTACCAGGTCAGTGCCGTTCGCCACACACACACACACACACACACACACACACACACACACACACACACACACACACACACACACACACACACACACACACACACACACACACACACACACACACACACACACACACACACACACACACCACGCGCGCGCACGTGTCGTCTACACGCTGCTCTATCAGTCGGGAAGCGTGCAGGTCCGATGCCCCGGTCGCACTCGTGATGACCTGCACGCGGACTGGACGGATTGTGTGACGTTTCTGACGTCGTCACTAAAATGTTGACGTTATTTTTTTTTATTGTGCACGTACTTTAAACGTGATGGTTTTTTGTACCAATGAGGAATCGCCGTATTACAAAGGCTATTATTTTATTTTACTGGAAAAGTCACAGCTATTAACAGACATAATGAAGTGATTTTAAGTACTTAAGAAGCCATTTATAATTCTTCACATTTAGTAGTCTTAATTTATTGTTATTATAGAAAATATAAATGCTATATAAATATCTGTTTATTAATATGGAAGAAGTTTACACACATGAAAAATCACGAATGCAAAGCTGTACTCCCAGACACGGACCGACCATCTGGGTGGTACCGCTTCTACAACACAGGATTAGGTTGACTGCTTACTCGCTTTTCAATTTTTCACAGAAGTCAGTCGCAAGAGCGCAAGTTTTCTGCTCAAAGCTGGCTGAATGCCGAATTAATTATTATTTAGTTACATTACTTATTTCGTGTGACGAGTGAGTCGGATAGTGGCGCGTCATCCTCTTAGGTTGTCAAGCTGACTGAAACCTCGTCGGATGTTGTAGATGTTCCACAGGCGGCGGTAAACACTCCAGGTGAATCGTGGGTGGTGTGCTTTTATATGATTCCATGTAACATAGAATATATGAAACTATGTAAGCTTATCCTTTTGGCACTGGCCAACTGGCTACTACTTAGTAGTCCAGTTAAAAGGTGCATTTTTCGTACTGTCTACCTTATCCAACGTGTTCTTAATGCTTCTCCTTTTATTTCAGCTTGTTTGATGGTTTGCGTCTAGTCTGGATTTTAATTAGTGCGTCGGTAACTATCCTTTACCTTTTCCTTCCTCTGCACGCTCTCCCACAAACTTTATGACGCGAAAAGTGTGATGCTCGATCGAGACCTGTAAAGTTTGTGGAAGAGCTATCCTTATAAATCTCCGTTCATTCAAAACTTGTTTCATTCAACATATATCCTTGAATTCTCGAACGTTAGTGGGTTTAACTTGTACACAGAAAGAGACGTTTGTAAATTAAAAAAAAAAAACAATCCTCTAGAAGAGAAAAAGCAACCCACAATAATTTCATTTTCGCAATCCCTACTTGCCTATCCAATTTGCACCGAAAATGTAATGTGACACAAGACGCAAAGTTAGAAAATCACAGATTAGTTGTCTAGCGTTCATTTAAATCTTCATAATAGGGAAGGGAACATTACAATTGGTCCTTGCAACCGGATATTGTGTAAAATTTTCGCGATGCCCCTTAATGTTGTGTTACAAGTGTGCCTTGTCCTTGCGTCGAGACTCATAGTGGCTGCGTGCCGTGTCCGCAGGTAAACGTAAATTTGACGGGGGCCACCAGAACCAAGGGGGGGAGACGAAGCGGCGCCTGGGCGCGGCAGCGGCGGCGGCGTGCGGCTGGGGCGGTGGCCTCGAGAGCGGCGGGCCGCTGGCGCAGCAGCCGCTCGCCAGCTAGCCTCGCCGTCGAGTGCGCAGGCCCAGCGAGGCGGGGGCGCGGCGTAGACGGCCGCCCCCCGCCGCCGCACCACCCCCCTCCGTCCCCCGCCGCCGCCCACCGCCGCCCCCCGCGCACGTCCCCCCGATCGCCCCTCAACCCCCGCCACCCCGCCCGCCTCGCGTGGCCGCGCCTGAGCCCCTGTCTGGAGACACTACAAGCTGCGCAGGGGAGCCACTCGGGCGCCGACGCCCGCGCGACCTGGCCGGTTGTTTTTGCGCACGGATTACGTTTACGCCCTGGATCCCTCGCCCCGTGCAACCGAGGATCGTTCCGCTCTATTGTCTCTTTTTTTTTTCTATATATGTGTTTTTTTTTTTATTTGATTTTCACGTTTTCAATTTTGTATCGCATCGAATCCCGTAAAAATCTTAAAGTAGGACGTTATGAAATGTTTCGAATGTAAGTTTCCCCGTTATGCTTATGTTTTTTTTTTTCACTGTCGTATTAGCCGTATATATTTAATATATACTCTGTGGTAGTGAGGGCGCGCGGCCGCGGTTGCCTGTTTGCGGCCGCGCGCGGGTCGCGGACCCGTCGACTGTCTGTTTTTTTTAATACATGTTATTCAATATATTTTATTCCTGCGAACGCATTTTGCGATGTGATGTGTATTTTAGCAGTAATTATTATATTATAAGGAGTTTGACTGTTGTTTTTTTGACATACTTACAACTTAGGTTACACGAGAATGATTTAATGGAATGGAATGAACTCTATCAACGACTTGCAATTACGGCTAAAATAAAACACCCCTGTAATCGATAACATTTCCCAACTGTGTTCCTGCTTTAGTTTTTTTTGCTTTATTTTTATTACATATTTCCATTTAAAATAAATTAGTGTGAAGAAGTAGTATTGTAAAGTTCAGGATTTCTCTGTAATGTTTATTGTCGCTGTACTAAACTTTTTTTTGTACTTGACCACATAGCATGCCCATACTGTTAGAAATCTGTCTTGTATCAATCTTGTATCAGTTAAATATGTGGAATAAATTTGCAAAACTGTGTTTGCCTTATTACCAAATTTGTTTTTATTCTATTTTCCTGTAGTTTTATTTTTTCAGCCGCTTTCATTTTGCTGGTCTTTACGCTATATTCCTCGACGCTGCTTTTATGCATAAAAGCGGTAAAAATATTCTCTATTACCCAATATATAGCTTGCCTTCTTGCTTCACCGAATTTGCCGAATGAATGCCTCTGTTCAACCTTGCACTGGCCAAGGACTAAATTCCACAAGTCGTTGGTTCAAAACGTGCTGTTAATACCCTTAGCATTTTCAACTACTGCTCTGGAGTGCAGAAGCTGTATTCGGTAACTCGTCCTTCACCGATGCATCCTGTTGCAGCCTGATGTGGCTGAGATCATAGAACATCAAAGCGTTTTTTTACAGTAGACAATGATATGTACAAATAGAGGTAGATATAACACTAGAGCACCGAAACTCGCCTGAGTGCCTACTCAAGTTACACCGTAAATTGGTGTAATTAGATTGCGATTCTAGACTGCTCTGCTATCTTTCCGTGTCCTAAGTTCTATCTGCCACATGCACATTCATATTTTTATGTGAAAAGTTGCCTAACGAGCAGACGGTTTACCTGATGTTAAGTGAATACCGGCGCCCATAGACATCTGCTACACCCTAGGGTTTGCAGATGCGTTGACAACCTTTTTGGAAATTGGGCTCCGGCTACCTCAATCACCAGACGAAACGCGAAAGTATTTGTCATACTTCCACTTTACGCCGGTCTTCTGTGAGGTCGTGGTACTTACCCGGACGAGCCTGCCCATTCGTGCAACAGCCGAGGCTCTACCACCGTCAAGGATATACCGTCATGCACATTCATATAATGTAAAGCGGAACAATTAAACGCCCCGGAGTGTGGACACGCATCATATTTATTAAAACATCATTGGCAGTGCTGTATTCGGAAGCTTTTACTGTTAACGAATGTGCAGGCTCGAATGGGGAAGTACCACGGCCTAGCAGAAGGCGAAGTGCATGTAATTGAGGCCAACTGTGATTTGCAAGTATTTTGAACCCCACGAGCCTCTTGTGAATTTTGTTCATTCTGCTGTTGGATCGGTCTAGAGAAAATCTTGTGACTATAAGTCATAGCTGCACTCCAATGTGAACTGTATATCAAAGCTACTCCCGCACTTGGTTAGTGCAGAAAGAATTTTGGAATAGGCTGTCTTGTCCCATACGGAAACAAAGTGTTGGCCTAGTTGGCTAGTAAACGAAAACCCCATTTACGGGAAATATACTGAAGACAAAGCTACTGTTTGTTGAACTGCTTCAGAGCTGATTTAACTGTGGTAGGGCCACGCAACAGTTTCCACTGTTGCACGAATAGGCAGGTCCGCCCGGGGAAGTACCGCGACCGCAAGAAAAACAACTAATTAATAAAAATAGTAGTAATAATAAATTAAATTGAAGAAAACTCAAAAATCTTTTTTGTTAGCAACCACTGTTCTAGACGGGTCACATCCTCCTTAGTCTTCCGTAGAGTTTGAATTTCACGATCACATGGAGCTAGAAGGTGGCCAAAGGAACTTCGCAAGGAAACGACACAACCTCATCGAGTTTAGTTTAGTTGGGCTTATTTGAATCATCTTAACGAGTAGTTTTCAATGGTAAACAAGTTCTGATGATGGAGCTGGAAGGTGGCCATAGCAACTCAGTAATTAAGCGACTCAATCGCGTAGTGCTTGATTCGCCACCCATTAAGGTGGACCGTTTTCGATGGTTAGTAAATGGTGGTGGTTTGGTGGACGTGAATATGCGACCCCATCTTTAGGAAATAAAGTTCGTACGTTCGTTTGTTATGAATGTGGATTCTGTCTTTGATTAGATGGATTATGTAAAGTTATTAAAATATGAAATAATATTCAAGATTTAAAAATAAAAAAAACTTTTTAAAAACAAGCTTTTATTATGTTTACCCAATTTTTTATAAATAAAAGCGTGTTACGTTATGATTGCAAAATGATGAAGGTTACCATAATAAAACCTTATTTTTAGTCTTTTTTTTTTAATTTTTAATGACTATACTAAAAGTAAAAATGTGTTGGTCCTTCTTTAAATGTGTAAAAATCATCATCATCATCTATCATCATCATCATCTATCATCATCATCATCTATCATCATCATCATCTATCATCATCATCTCCCCCTTAGAACGCCACAACGTACGACACTGCCATTTGCATCCACCGGTTCCGCGTGGTTGGAATTTATAAGAATCTATGTATTCATATAAATTTATAGTTGAAATGGTTTAATACACAGGGTGAAATTGCAATCATGAGCATGCTTATGCGAAATAAAAAAAACTGTGCTTTTCTCATGGTCAAATGTATGCAGCATTTTCTTTTTGAAAGTGACAAGTGGGCTGGCCACCTTATAGTCTACAGTAGGTAGTGTCTTAAAATAGTGCTCTGTTCTGTGTCCTAAGCTATTTATGGTTGGAAAGTCATAAAAATAAATAAATATCATACCCATTTGGAAAAAAATCGCACTTATATGCGCTCTTCACGTTAGAATTGACTGTGTATACCGGAAGTCAGTGTACGTACACTTTGTTTACGGTCGGTGTTACCTCGGGTTCCTCTTAGTATCTTTTAATTGTAACGTTTGTAACATTTATTACTTATTTATCAAATAAATAGTGAATCACGCGGACCACCGAAGGAGTTGATCGGTTATATCGGATGAACAGATATTTGGGAAAAAATAATCTTAAGTGGTTTTAGAGATTATCCATTACATAATTACAGTGCGTATACTTATTCCTAAAACTTACCTCATGACTCGGTGAAGTAGCTTCGGCGTCACGGGCCGTGGGGCGTAGGTTCGATTCCCACTCGAGATAAGTATTTTTGTGACCCACCGATAATTTCTCTGGATCTGCGTGCTTATTTCGTCGACGGGTTGACAACGAGGCAGGCGGCCGGTCGCATAAAATCGACCGTAGCCAAGTACCGATAAGGGAAAGAGAAAGGATACATATGGCTAAAAAATGTCACGTACATTACATATTTTTACATATTTTTTGTTAATTTTCTTAGTCGTACACTTGTTGGCTAATTATATATCATACCCTAAATATAATATGTAGTTTACAAGGACAAGTAAAACCGGCCAAGTGCGAGTAGGACTCGCGCACTTACGGTTTCGTACCCTTATCTATAAAAAGGGCAAAAAAAATCATGTCTGTTGAATCGGAGCCCTACTTATATATTTTTTTATTCTGTTTTTTAGTATTTATTGTTATAGCAACAACAGAAATACATTATCTGTAAGAAATTCAACCGTTTAACTATCACCGTATATGAGATACAGCCTGTTGACAGACGGACAGAGAGACAGACAGCGAATTCTTAGTAATAGGGTTCTGTTTTACCCATTGGGTACGGAACTCTAAAAAAGACTCCGTGTAGGAACCTCGAAGAAGACAGCCTATTCCTACCTCAAATGCTAGCAACGCATTTGTGACAATTTTGGTGTTGCTAGTGTCTATGGGCGGTGGTGACCACTTACCGACAGGTTGCTCATTTGCCTCCTTTTCCATAAAAAAGGAAAGGGTCTGGTTATATTGGCCGGGCTGCTGCCGCGCTCCCACTCCCGGCTGCTGTCCCACCGCCGGCTGACACGGGGACTTTTGGCTGCTGGGGCTCCCCCCTGGCCCGTTCCGCCCCTCCTCAGTGAGTCTGCGCCCCCCGGACTCCCCCGGGCGGTGCATGCTAATGCCGGCCTCAGCGCGGACGTCCAGTCAACGAGGGCCACGCGGCACCAGGGCCCCCGACCTCGAACCGTCCCCACTCCCGACCTCCGAGCAGCCGGACTACAGGAGACGCCACGCTCCCGGTCGACTTACGCTCTCAATTCGCGATACACAAACAATCGCGAGTTCCGCGTTCGAATCCCGCTCGGAGCTAACATAATCTTAAAATACATTGTATGATTTGAAAAATGGTTTAAGTATTTTTTCTTGTAATACAGACATGTTCGTAGTAACAATATGTAAGAAGTGTTTCGAAGTCTCCAACTTATTAATATTTTTTGATCGACTTTTAAAGATAAGGGTTGTTCCAAGCGCCCTCTGTTTGACATTCACTGCAATTGTGACACGGATGCTTTTCGTAACGGTTCTTAGAGGGGGTGCTGTGAATATTTCGAAGCGATCTTGACGAGCACAATTATTATTAGTCTTATATACGTCAGATCACGCTGGCAAAACCGTTTATATGAAGTTGTTTAACAGTCTTGTATCCGTTAGTGATTTTGTGATTTACTGTACCTATCACATGATTGTAAAACTTCAACGTAGTGTTATTATCTCTTTACTGATTTTCTATTAGTGAGTGTTATAGTGATTTAGCTATAACTAGCACAAGGATGGAATAGATTGAGATCAGATCAAGTTATAAGATATCACGATTATTTATATACCTTCATCGCTCTACGTTATTCATTACAGAGTCATCTGAGAGCCCTTCATGGCGAGCCCATAGCTATTAGGAATAAAATATTTATAACATATATGTATAAAGGGGTTGTGCTATGCAATAGAAAACTTAGCGTAGAATCCGCAACTAAAGAGGTACATTCTCATGCTGAACAAACCTATCAGCAAGAAGGAATTAACAGCGATATCGACTGGAAGCAATTGCTGATAGAGTCATCACACCATACCGTTATCTAGCAAATATATTGAGAAATACTGTATTCATATGAACAAGTGCATGAAACTAGTAATTCACATGACTTTATTAAACGGTTTTATTTAGCTCGACCCGTACGGAATTTATTTGTTTGGGTCAAAATTAGAAATTGAAATTTAAGCACCTTCCCGTTGTCAGATTGATCTGAATTTGGTACACACATTTAATTTAGATGACAATACAATATTGTAGTTTTCAGTGCACATAAAATAAAACCGTTTAACTTAAAAGTTTTTAAACGGTTTTATTTTGTAATGATCTGTTAAAAGTTCGATGTTCAATTATTTTTTTTAGATTTTTTTTTTTTTTTTTAGATTTTTTATAAACATTGCCCTTACTTTAGGATAATATTATCCTGTGTTGTAAGGACGTTTTACAAACATAAATTTCACGCGGACAAACACCCAGATGCGAAACAACTATCTGTGGGTCACACAAATAGTTGTCCCGTGTGGGAATCGAACCCACGACCCCCGACGCCGAAGCCGATACCTTTGCGACTGCGCCACGGAGTCATCGAAATTATTTAGTTGCTGTTTAAACTTTGGCAAACAATAATCTCATAATCAGAAAAATCTTCATCCACCTCCAATAAAGGAACGTAACAAGCTTCCTTTTGTGCCAATTTTGGATATTCACTTTCGTATCTAATAGGAATGGTGGTCTCGATAGCGCCGTTGCTAAGCTATTGGCTTCGGCGTCGAGGGTCGTGGGTTCGATTCCCACACGGGACAACTATTTGTGTGACACACAGATAGTTTTCGCATCTGAGTGTTTGTCCACGACTAATTTGTTTTTGTTAAACCTTACAACACAGGATGATGCTACCCTAAAGAAAAGGAAGTCTTATTGAACAAGTATTTGCGTGACCCACAAGTAATTATTCCGGATCTGGGCGTTAGTTTCCCAGGGAGGGTTGACGTCAGGCACGTGGCCGTTCGTAAAGAAAACATAGTCAAACCGTTTACGACATGATTCACACGTTATGCCGACCCATCTAGGTGGGATAAGGGCAGGAGGATGAAGATCTATTAAGAAATTACCTAACATTATTTAAAGTAACTTCCTATGAAAGTAAGTTTCACTAAAAGTCTATCTGCCTAAGCAACACAGATGTAGATATGATGTGCGTTACGCATTTTCGTAATGTATTTTATAAATATTTCCGCGCATTTTTACCTTAACGCGTTTGGGACACCTAAAATTGCCTTTCAAGGGGTTGGAACTCAAAACAATTTTAATAAACTCTGGGGATAATAAATGAACAATGGAAAATGGACAATGGACATATTTTTACACAACGTTATCTATTCCCAAACTAAGCAAAGCTTGTGCCATGTGTACTAGGTAACTGATAAACATATTTAAACGTATTTTTTAATAAATAAATACATATTATAAATAAATAAACTCCGAGATAATAGAAAAATACAATGTTCGTCAAACAATATATTTCCAGTAGCGGGGATCAAACCCACACCCTCTGGCGCAAGAGACAGGGTCACTATGCACTACGCCAATTGGATAGTCTATCTGGGATGGATAGTTAATGGTATCCTTTCACCAAGCTTATAAAATCGCTACCATGTCATATTGCGAGTTTTCACACTGTACCCTGGCATAAATATCATCTTCTCTAGTAATGTAACAATGATTTATCGAGAGCTGAATCAGACTAAAAAACCGGCCAAATGCTAGTCGGACTCAAGCACAAGAGGTTCCGAACCGTTATCATAAATGAAACCGGCAAAAAATGATGTCTGTTGTATGGGAGCCCCACTTAATTTTTTTTTAATTCTGTTTCTTACTATTTGTTATAGAGGCAACAGAAATACGTTATCTGTGAAAATTTCAACTGTCTAACTATATACAGCCTGGTGACATTCGGACAGACATAACCGTGGTAGGGCCAAGCAACAGTGTTTGCTGTGGCACGAATGGGTAGGTCCGTCCAGATTAGTACCACGACCTCACAGAAGACCGGCGTGAAGTAGAAGCGTTACACTTCTGCGTTTCATCTGGTGAGTGAGGTAGCCGGGGCCCACTTCATTAAAAGGTGGCAACGCAACTGCAACCCTATGGGTGTTGCAAATGTCCATAGGCGGCGGTTATCACCTAACATCAAGTGAACCACCTGCTCGTTTGCCACTTTGTCACTTAAAAAACAAGACAGACAGCGGAGTCGTAGTAATAGGGCCATTTGGATACGGAACCCGAAAAAAAAACACGCCGGGAAAAACGGTCAAAAGGAAAGGGTCTGGTTTCCGAGGCGAGTGGTGGCCAGGCGGCCGCGGGCCCTGGCTTCCACCCGTTACCCCGTCTGTGGCCGCCGGGCGCCGGCAGCCCCGTTGGCCCGGTGCGCCTAAGGTGGGCCCGTCCCCATCGCCGCCAGTTCCGTGCGGGCGGTCCCAGCTCCAATGCCGAGCCAGCGCGGCCCTGCTGGTACCAACGCGCGCCGCCCAGCTCTACCCCACCCGGCCCGGAACGATCCGCCTTCCCCGACCTCCGCGCAGCCGGATTACAGGAGACGCCACGCTCCCAGTCCCTCGTACCGGCGAATCCCCGATATATATACACGCAAAAGTCGTGAATTCGGGACCAACTTAATCATGACATCTGCTAGCCGACTTCGTAACAGCGGCTGATATTCATTTTGCAATCGAACGTTCTGTTTTGGAAATTTAAGAATGTTTTAGACAAAAATTCTATGCGTGCTTTCTTTTGTAAATTGATTTTGATGTTTTAATTTTTTCGTTTCTTTAATTACAGTGACGCCATCTGATGGAGCTACGCAACTCGCGATGCCGATTGCGCGGCTTTCGATTTTTTCCTTTTGATTGGCGCTATTAGTCGTGCTACGTCACAGGGCGTATGTCGTTCTAGTCCTTGTGCCGGAACATAGATGACGTCACAAGTTTGAGAGCATTAATATTGCGTTAAATATAGTCATATGAACAATTATGTACTTAAATTGAAGTTGATTCGTTAAATTTCCCTTTTATCACGATTAGATTTCCTTAATGTAGACATTCGTAGACCATATGTCTACGAATTACGGTTAAGACTCTGAAAGGATACTCATGTAATTGAGTAAAACATATTTCATTTTTATGCTTTTGATACAAAGATAATATATTTAATAATAAATATTTTTTGTTATTAAAATCCAGTGGCATCCCTTTTGGAGATTCTAGGGGTCTTGTTAATGTTTTTTTGGAACCAATAGAGAGAGTGTAATAGAGAATTGTAAAACAGATAAGCTTTCATACCGTTATAATTATGTTATAATTACGAGCTTTTACCGGCGTCACCTCGATGGTTTTGACTTAATTACTGACGTTTATTATTATTATTTTAATTTATCGTGCTAGTCTACACTCATGATGAAATTTCAATGTGAGTTTAATAGATAAAATGTAGGAAAAATTCCAGTGTTACTAGGATTCGAAGTATTGAGCCTTCTGGATAACGAGCCAACCTAACCAACTGCCTCTCAACAGTAAAAGAGATCATAAGATAATTGGCCGACTTCACGTATCTTCGAAATATTTTTTTTTGTTATTATTTTTAAAAAATGCATATTATCTCAAAAGAAAAAACCCTTCACCGCTGAGCACGTGATAAGTCGGCACGTAAAATTAACAAATCCATCGGTACCGGAACCGTGGATTGAATTCAGGTTGCTCGAGTATATTGAATTAAATTGGAATTTTTTCTGTGACTTGTAGTTTGATGTTTGTTGCCCGGCTTTTCCAGCGGCGGAAGACGTCCGCGGGCAGACGAGCCAAGAACTCGGGAGAACAGCATAGCTGGTGCAAATGACACGAAGACGCCAACCGATCTACTGTACTCCGCAACACGACAACAACACAACGAGAGGGATAACGAAACATGGACAATCGACTAACAGGGGGAGGGGCACGACACGATCCAACGGCCCCTCAGATCGAGCGCCCGGACAATTACTGTTGGTCATAACACAAGATATAATGCGTTCTATTATTTAATCCGGTGTCATAAGAGTGCCATAATTCCTCCGTGCAACGTAAATATACAACGGCTCAACGGGCTCGCCGAATAAAAATGGAATAATTTTCATTGTTGAAACAACCTTTTTCTTTAACAGAGTGTATTGGTGTAAACTTAAGAAATCATTAACATATAAAAAACGTGTAAATCTGTTGTCAGCGTCATCTATCGTGTTTTACTGGTTCCACTACGAAAGGGTCGTTGCTGTTTCGCTGCAGTGGGTAAAAATTTGGTCAACAATAACGCCATGTATGACACTGTATGGTGTAGTTTTTTTAACTGTAAAAGGGGTCACCGTTTACAAAAAAAATAAAAGGCAATAAAACTTTTTAGAGAAATAACGGATAAACTAAAAGTCACGAACTGAAAATTTGGATATCAATTAAAATTTTTAGAATTAAGCTGGATTTGAAAATCTAACTTTGAGAGTAAGAATTATGTATCATCAGTGCAGTAAATGAGTTTACCGAGAGCGTGGCATCACCAAGAACTGCGAACTCAAATCACTATCACGAGAATATATATCAGTATTACAGGAAAAAATACTTAAACCATTTTTCAAATCATACAATGTATTTTAAGATTATGTTAGCTCCGAGCGGGATTCGAACGCGGAACTCGCGATCGTTTGTGTATCGCGAATTGAGAGCGTAAATCGACCGGGAGCGTGGCGTCTCCTGTAGTCCGGCTACTTGGAGGTCGGGAGTGGTGACGATTCGAGGTCGGGAGCCCCGGTGCCGCGTGGCCCTCGTTGACTGGACGTCCGCGCTGAGGCCGGCATTAGCATGCACGCCCGGGGGAGTCCGGGGGGCGCAGGCTCACTGAGGAGGGGCGGATCGGGCCAGGGGGGAGACCCAGCAGCCAAAAGTCCCCGTGTCAGCCGGCGGTGGGACAGCGGCCGGCAGTGGGTGCGCGGCAGCAGCCCGGCCAATATAACCAGACCCTTTCCTTTTTGGCCGTCGTTGTCTTGTTAATCTAATTTTATTTTTGTAGTGCTTTAATTTATTCAATTCCCTATATATCAATCCCAATAATATTGTCGTGACATGACATGTAAATATACATTTAATTTCACACGTATTTTCATAAACAGTGCATCTCACTAGAACAGTGAATATCACAAATAAGTATTAAAATACACATAATCGTACACATCATCTTTAAAATAATTCTCTCAACGTATACGTAATTATTTCAGTTATACCTATTAAATATCTGTTTATGTACAAAAAATATCCGCAAAAAGCACCGACCTCAAGTGATTAACTCACTATTTTCAAATCAAAATAAAACAAGTGACAAAATAATATTCACAGAACCCAAAGATTAGTTAAGGAATACTTAAATTTTTTTATGTAGAAAGTTAACAAGCGAAAAGAAGGTTCACTCGGTGTGAAGTGATTGCCGAGGCACAACGACATCTATAACCACTGACGAGTAGCAGATGCACTGCCGACCATTAAAAAAGCAAATGTAAATGGGCGGCGGTTATCACTTAATATCAGGGAACCACCAGCTTGCTTGCCACCTTCTAACATAAAAAAATACGACCACATCTAGAGCATGGAAGACCCCATGCAATGGTTTAAGAAGGAAAGCAGTAACCGTACGCCATTCAGAAAAGTTAATTATTTTAAAGTATTGATGGAAAGAATTTTAAATATGATGATTTATGTTTTAAATTTAAAGTATGTTGTTAATAATAATAATAATAAAATACTATAAAATAATATAAATAAAAGACACATAAAATTAAAAAAAATAATAAAATGGCGGAGTTTCTTAGTGAAAATGACAAGTTTTATTTTTCCCGAAAATTATGTGCGACCAGAGAATTCTGCTTGTTGATTATTTGATTAGAAATCATATATGATGGAACTATTTGGCTGGAGAATGCATTCTCCAGCCAAATAGTTCCATTTTCAAAAGTTGTGATTATTTTTTAAATATTGTTCACGGAAGTGCCAGTTCCAAAAACTTTTAGTGTGACCACTGTATATGTGGCAGATTTGATCTGTTGGTCGTCCTAGGCACATTAAAGATTGCCGGGCGACAACTTAATCGCTGAAAAGCAAAAAAAAAATTAAACGTAGTAAATTAAAATGAAAATAAAAAACAAAGAAAGTCATTACATGATATTATGGAGCCGAAGAATGGTACCTCCTCATTAGGCCCGCTTTTTTATCATAATTTTTATGGATAATATAATTTTTATCGTCTGCGCGAAGTAGCGAGAGGCGAAAGGCAAGGCTACTAAAAATCCCCCTAATTTGCCGTCCCCTCAATTTTGCCACACTGGGCCTGAGCATACTCGGCCTATAGGGAAATTCACCACAACTAAACAAATCGCAAAACAAAATCAAGAGCATCTGTGTACCGAGCAAAACTAAAATCGTACCCAATAGAAGTAATTCGCAATATTATTATTAAAATGCAAATGGTCGGTAATTGTCCCTTAATTAAATTGTGAAAAAGCGCATGTTAGGAATTTAACAACGCCATCTAATTTTAGCACGGGAACTAATTTCTTATCCGTAACTTACCTACGGTGGAATTAAGTTCTATCGATTGAAGAAATAGTTAAATAACACTTTATTACGAAACTGAAAATTCAAGTTATCGTTGTTAGGATTTTGCACGTTTTGTATGGAAGTTAATTTTTATGTATTGGGCAGTGGCGGATTAAGCAAACGCGGGGCCTGTAGCAAATTCTTTCAAACAGTCCTTGATCTGTTATGGGGTCTGAAGTATATATTGGTAAAAAAAAATAATTCAATACTTTTACTTATTTAATAAGTTTCACTCAATAAATTAAGGCTCAGGTAGAGGTCAGTGGGTTAAAATATGCGAGCCCCCCTTATTGCTGGGCCCGTAGCAATTGCTACTCTTGTTAGGTACGTTGATAATCCGGCACTGGGTGGGAGTTATGTCTGTTCTGTTTGAGTAAACTGATTGCGATCAAACGAAACATATATTTTTTTTATGTGAAACCAGACGGTTCACCTGATGTTAAGTGAATATCGCCGCCCATGGACATCTGCTGTACCCGAGAGTTGCAGATGCGTTGACAACCTTTTGAAAATTGGGCTCCGGCCACCTCACTCACCAGACAAAACGCGAAAGTATTATACTTCCACTTGACGCCGGTCTTCTGTGAGGTCGTGGTACTTACCCGTACGAGCCTGCCCATTCGTGCAACAGCCGAGGTTGCTGCGTAGACCTACTACCGTTAAATTACATTGCTAGATTATAAGTATATTGCCAGAAAGTTACTCGTGTACTGGCACGTTGTCAAAAACCCCGCACTAAACGATACTGTGGTTTGTGAGTACTCGCGGTTGCAATAGTTTCACTTAAACAGATAATATACAAAGCTTTAATATGCACAGAACTAATCTTTATATACTTTCAAAAACACGAACCAAATTGATCAAACAGTTAGCTAATTTAAATAACACAGTTTGCGGCTGCCCTACTTGAATCTTAATAGTCCCATATCTTCCGTTTGAGCGAACCGATTGAGATGAAACAAAGCCTTTATAATGCCCCAAGCTTAGTTTAAGTAACCAATGAAAACTGCATCAAAATCTGCAAAAAGTTTTGAAGTTATATAGCGAACAGACAGACAATAATTCTAAAAATGGTTTTTATGTGTCCTATATAACCTATAACTCTTTTAGTGATACTCTGTTAGACATTAAAGACATTTATTCCGTCACCTTAAAATAATGGTACAGAACTAAATCAATAAAATTACAAAAATAAAAACAGAGAGAAAAAAAAAATGTTTACATAAAGAGTAAAAATATTACAAAAAAAAAAAAATTGGTAGTAAAGTATTATAATAATATTAACAAATAAAAACAATTAAATGTGTGTTGTGATAAGGTGGCGGTAGGGACCGTCTCAGCATAAGCCGCAGGAGTGCAGCGCTGATTTTTTACTGTCTACCGTACTGTCTACCGTAACAAATAAAGATCATTCCATTATAATTACACTAAGAATATAATACTCTTCATTGTTATCACATAATTTACATTATGTTTACTGCTGTTGTAAACTATCTTCACTACTAATGATTGAAGAACACCTCAAGCCACATTTTTTATTTCAAGCAACACAAATCTTTGTAAGTAGTCAGTGGCGGATTTCCAGGTCATGTAATAATTACCAGCCGCCCCTTTCTCAGCACCCAACATATAGACTGCTGTATGAATTTACTTTATTACAAACTTTTATCGAAATAAATTAAGCAAGCTAGTTAGCTTACTGAATTTGTTTTGTAATATTTTCCGATGTTTCAGTGATATTTTCTCCTATAACTACAACATTTAAACAGTTTTAGATTTTATTTATGTAACTACAGATTTATAATCGCACAAAATAAAATTTTATGAATATTTTACATTGTTAAACGTTGGAGATAAAAGGACGAAAAGTCCTTTTTTCTACAACGCAGGTCTTGCCTCAGGTATCGAACCCACGTCTTCGCGATTCGCACCCCGTCTGGGTGCGAATCGCGTCTTTAACCACAAAGAAAACGACAGATTGTCACACTGTCGAAAATCTCAACACCTTTTATCTACATTGTTTTTTCGCATTTCGAGCAAGGTTTGGCGCATCTATGGTTAAGCCAGCCTGGGATTACAACTCTATGTAACATCTCTATGTTTTGTACATAAAATGTACGAAAGTGATTTAGGAAGAGTATTGGTAAACAATGCGGAGCAGTGCGGCCCGTCATAATATGCTCAATCCTTTAGAATATTTAAATACTTTATCTCTCTTTATCATCGGTGAATTTTTTCTCGATTGGCCGCCCCTAATTTCAGGCCGCCCTAGGCCCGGGCCTACTGGGCCTTAGGGCGAATCCGCCACTGAGTAAAGTAACAGCCTATATAATATGTCCCACGGCTGTACATTGCTGTCATTTGTACGGAGGTACTATTTTATTGTTTCGATAATGTATGTACAGGTTTCCTCAAGATGATTTCATTCACCGCAAAACACGTGATAAATCAACGCTTAAAATTAACAATTTTATTGGTGCCGACACTGGGATTTGAACATAGGTTGCAAAATTATGTTGAATTAAAAGCGACTGCTTGGATACTGAACTATCACGGCAATAAACATTCAATTTGTTCAAATCTGTGTATTCAATTTATTTATTAAGTAAACATTGCCATCCAAAGCCAAAAGAAACCAGGCCTAATTTTCAAACTATTCGTTTATCGAGTTTTTTTTTTTTTCAAAATTTTTCATTAAAAAAATAAAGTGTATCTAGTGATTCCTTTGCTTTTTGTTCTAGCCCTGCAGTGTAATAAATTTTTTTTTTAGGTTCTTTATTAAATTCGTCAGATTATCTAATTGAGATTATTTTATTAGTTTATTAATGTGGTAGATGCAGATTGTTAGACGTACCTATATATGTCTTAAACAAATGTAAATTGTGAACCTCTTGAATAAATACCATTGGAAATTTGAATCTCGATTTTACGCCACAAATATTTTTTAAATAATTTCTTCTCGTAAGTAGTTTGTTAATTTGTAAGTATTTTTATTAAGAACGGATTAGTTCCACCCATCATACCTATTGTGCTTTGCTTTCGTAAACCATATGTGCATTAGCTCATTAAAAGCCTATTCCGCCGTTTTGAATTTATTCCTGATATTAAACTTTGAAACATGGGCCTTCAGCTAGACCAAACCCAGAAAAAACACTTGGTATATTTATTACTGTTGTATATTTCACACATCGGTACACAATATGATATGGGTATGTAAATGAAACACGCTTGTACATGAAACTGTTGTATTGTCGCGCCGACACGATGTTTAGACGGTGTCGTGCGGCGCTGGCGCGGCCTCCGCGAGGCGTGCCGCGAGTGCGCGCGGTGGCGGACGCGGTGGCGGGGGCGGGCGGCGGGGCGAGCGGGCGCGCCTTCTCCACGCGCACGCCGCCAGTGCGGCCGCACCCCCGCCCCCCGCCGCTGCCGCCACCCACCACGCCGCACCGGCGCCCGATGCAGCCGCCGCCCCGCCCCCGCCTGTGCACACTACATGTCTGACACGCTTCCTCGCCGCCCATACAACCCGCGGTCAACGACCGACGATGCTTCAGTCACGATACATCCAGATAAAGGTAAAGGGGCGGTGCTGCTTTATCCATCTGACAGCTGTCACGCACTGCTTGAAGTTTTGAAGAGCCCTAGGAAATCGAAAGCGAAAACAACAAACAAAAGGATTAGGACGGTTCACGCACGGCTTAAGCACAGTTCGTGCATTTTGCAGTAACAATTTTATCACACTCCCCCATAATGTTTACAAGACTGTACTCAGACGTAAATTATTTTCTAAGACTGTACATAATTGTTGTTCTTCTTATTCTAGTTTGCAAGTCAATTGTAGAAGACAAAAATCATTATTCTTCCTCAATTATCATAATAATTATTCATTCTTAATGTAATACTTTAATTACTACTATAATTATTATTAAATCCAGTAGAATATTATAATATTCACTATTTCCGAATTCCGACGAATACGTGTCTCAAAATAATATTTAATATTGTCTTAAGAATATATCTTTAAATAGAAATTCTTTTTATATTTTTTAATGTCATTGGCTTGTTCATATCAAGTCATTAGATTTTCTTCTACATCCTAAATAAAGTTTTAAGCAAAATGTTTAATTTAATTTCGCTTGGCAGTGCATTTCTACTTATTCTTTTGCAAGTCTGACATATGGATGAGAATCGATCATTATGTTACTTAATCAGTGAAAAAATAAACGTCTGTTTGATGTTTTCTGTAAATTTAGGTCTTCACTATAGTCTGGTTAATTTTTTACACGAATCATATTTTTTTTATTGTAAAAAGACTACAATGCCCACATTATTCTTATGATTTCCTCTTTTTGATGTTAAATTTGAGCTGATAACGCTCAAAGAAAAAAAAAATGTAAATAAACATAAATGGAACATCAAAACAACACAGGATTTTAGATTGTATGGTTTAAGTTGTTTTAATTTTATGTTTTAATCTAACGCAGGCAACAACGGAAAGTCAAACTAAGTGAAAATAGAAGATGAATAGTGAACAAGCAGTGTGGTGCATCTTTCTTAATGTGCTCACACTCCATAAAACTCCTTCGAGATGGGTTTAAAACAACATTGTACTTTTACGCAACCAGAAAAGTCTTCCATCTAACATTCTGTTGGTTCTGTTGGAAACAAATCTGTATCAATAAGGAGGTTTATGGTAGGTAGTTAAGTGTTATAAATAAAACTTGAGCAAGCAGTAAAAATCTTGTTAAACAACGCTCGCGAGCTTGTCCAAAGATTGGTCCTTCGAGCTGGATAAGTTGCGCATCCGAGTGATAAGCGGCTCCCAGTTGAGCTGATGACAGAATCGAATGACGTTTTCTGATGATCGGAATAAAACGAAAGTAGTAGAAATCGCGCGAGGAAAAGCGAGATGTCGGATGGCGGGCGGCGATGAGGCAGCGGGCGAGTATATAAAGACTCACGTGTGCATCGCCCGGTCAGTGCGGGGCGGCGAGCACAAGCGAGAGGACGATGAGTGCTGCGCGCGGCACGAACTGGTCCGAAGCCGCAACGCCTGCGCACACCGCCTCGTCAGCCCCACGACAGGTTTCAGACCCATACTCGTCTTACTGTACCCCTTTCCCCAACTAACATGTCCCCTGCGACAGGTCCGTCACGAAGTAGGGTGCGGAATGAGCGAAGAGGTGGTGGTAATGTAAGCAATTGCCAGCGACCGATTACTTATGTATACGCGGCGATTGTTCATATGTACCACCAAGCTGTCCCAGAATGAGCTTGTATGCTTCATCGTTATTCTATTCGTTACAGTGCTCATGCCAGGAGTCGCGGTAACTGTGTGCAACATTGAAAATACCTTTGAAAATTCGTAATTCATCTTTAAAGTGTTCCCGATTTGTTATGTCCTTATTATCATATACGGAATCAACATTGGTATCAGATTACGTTACTATAGAGATAAAAGGTTATTCGTAGTAATAATGAATGTATTTTCAATGTGAGACAGTGTACCCCGTGTCCCATAGTGCGATGACTCAATGCAAGCTTCGTCCCATCAGATTTTGGATACTCGACCTATATTTTATATGAAATCGAATTAAAAAAAAGATTACCTTGTTCAAAAATGTTAACTCTAACTAATCTGAGTCATCACAGTATATATAGTTTAAGAACGAATTTAAAGAGCTATTAAGTGGGATAAAATTTATGAATGTAGAATGAGTTTTAGATGTGAACATTTAGTAATGTATTTTAAAAGGGTCCGCCGTACGTAAATAAAAGAGTCCATAATCTTGCAACATCGTTATATATTATGCTAAATAATCCAACATCATTATGAATCGTCGTTAAAGTCTTCTAAGCCTACTCAACTAGTTAACTAGTTTACATTATGGATCCTCTGAGACAAAGATTGCATTGAACCGTCAAGATTGAGAATATTCAAATACACAAACAATTTTAGTTAGTCTTTAAAATATATCGTTTAACATATCTACAGCAGTTAGGAAAAATTTCTTAGTTACAATAGAGTAAATAAGCGAGAGTAAGCAGCGTATGAAGCTTGGAACAATTGTACTATCGACGCGAAACTTTGTTTTGAAGCAATTCAGAACAAGATTACCAATGGCAATAGACATTGTGATAAATAGTTAATGCATAGAAAGACCTATTCTATAAAATTAACGAGATTTATTTCACGAAATTTCCTTTATTATTCTATGGATGTTCCTTACTTCTTCTTTTATAATTCTGCAAAAAATAAGTGAATTTTCGTTTGTGCATGAGAACTGACTTGTGTTTTTAGTCGTAATAGGATCCTTCTACGTTTTATTTTGTACATATTTATTTTGTAAAGATATATTTTTTAGAAATATATACAACTGCTTACTCCGCAATATAAGCTACAAATATTTCAATACATCATTTTAAAACTTCTAGAATGTTTCTCTTATCGAAAATGCGACAATATAATGCAAGTGCCCATACAATGTAAGTTACATGACGTTTGCACTGTGAGGTGCCACAATTTGATAGTGAATTAGATACTATTCAATACATTAGCTGAAATTGAAAGCTGAAAAAGATAATTTTGGAAAAGAGAAATTATAGCCAATCAAGACAATTATCTATCACTTTAACGCAATCTCATGAACTAATATTATTCACAAAATATGAGCATTGTTAAAATATCCCTAATGACCGTCACGTACTATACAAACAATTAAAAATCTTTCATATGAAAGAAGCTATTTTTAAACATTTACATTATCTTCGTCATAACTCTTATGGCATATTAGAATATGTATAAGTACATTATTTTGTGTATTACAATGTCGGAGCGTTCAAGCTGTGTGTTGCATTTTTGTGCAGATGCGTTGTAAGCTTGTATGAATAAAAAAATGACGTGTTGTTACGAGTGTGTCCACAATAGTCATCATCGCGTTTCATGTAGAGTATTTACACTGGCCTCCATTCAGATGCCATTTCAAGCGGATAAAGATATGGCCGCTCTATCGAGTTCGTTCTGCGAAGCTGATGGATTCACATGTGTCAATCGAGCTACGATAGTCAATGCAGAGAAGGGTATGTTATTTATTTGTTATTGCATTGTTTTTCGACCGGCCCTATTTATTTTTTTCAGGTCCAACTGTGAAATGCTAACAGAATTTGACGTACCCCATTAAACGTCAAATTCTATTATTATTTGTAATGCCGGGCATTATTGATAATTATATTTATTAACAGACGCACTGAAATGAGCAAGTTGGGGTAGAAAAAAACGATTCAGATAATACTATTTCGCCAAGACAAACAACTTAATAAATGCAGTCAGGGTTTTGATATTCTTCTGGATACGTTACGTAGGTATATGTTGTCTTATGTGATAAGTACTATAAAAACTATTCAGCACGCTTTACCCCAATAAGTGTTGTCACACATACTGGGACAAAGCTTGCTTACCAAATGAAGATAAATTTTAACTGGCTTTAAGTAGTAATATTTAGCAAAATGCGTTAAAAATGTATAGCTTTGTAAGAAATTGATGAATTAACTAAGATTTCTTTGTAAATGAAAAGCCTTAGAACATTTATTATCGTTGTTATAGTGATGATTGAACAGTAAGTTTCATTCGTAGAACTGTTATCGCCTGTGTTTGTAATGCCCTATACAGTTTCTTTTTTTTTTTTTAGTGGAACTGGTGTTGAATACTGTTTATCATATCTACAGCATGTCCTAACCAGAATATTATTGTCAGAAACGTCTTATCTGATTCCGAATATCCTATTGTTAATTATGTTTAGGTCGTATATTTTTGAAATGAGGGTGTTGTGAATAGAACGAAGTTTGATATTAGGTTTTTGAGCATGTGTGACATCCCTGGCCAGCGTATACTAACAGTGCGCGGGCTTCTTGACCACGGCGCCGGCGCAGTGTTGCAGCCCCGAGCAGATGGTGGAAGGGGGCAGGCAGGCCCCGGCGCAGGCGCTGGCGCATCCCTCGGTCTCCGCGCTGACTTCCGTCCATACGGCGCGCCAGCCCGCCGCCCCCACGGACTTGTCCGCTATTATGAACCTGCGGATTCATGCGCTCCTGGTACCCGGTCTTTGTGAGTGCTTTTTTTTTACTAATCAACTGCCGTACACGATGCATTTTATAAAAAAATTATACGAGTACATACTACATATATACTCGAGCAACGAAATAATAACAAAAAAATATATATTTCGAAAATATGTGAAGTCCGCCAATCCGCAGTGGGGCCGCGTGGTGGACTATACCCTGATACCCTCTGTATAGAGGAGGCCTTTGCCCAGCAGTGGGACATGTATTGGCTGTTACTTTACTTTACTTTACATATTGTTTATTCCCCAATCCATCAGAGGTCCACTCTAGAAGAATTTCGCAAAATGATAACAATCAACATTGTTATATCAATAATTTTTAAAGGCACAAAAAGTAGAAAAATACCTAAGATGATTTATTTGATGATTAATATATTTCGAAACTGGTTAGGGTTATCGACCACTTAGCTAAGTCGGTTCGAACGACTGGGCCCGTAACCTGGAAGTCACAGGTCCGAAACCAGCGTCGAAAATTTTTCGACAATTTATCAACAAAATTTACATTTTAATTTGGATCGTTTTCTTTTGAAATAGTAAACTCTAACCAAACTCTAGTTAGAGTGTAATAGTCATTTTCCGATTTATCGTATCTAATGCTTATTTTTGTATTCATATCTATTCTCATGGTCCAATTCTAGCAGTCTTATTGTTTATTATTAAACTGTAGCATTAATGATTTAATATCGTTTCCAATATTATAGGCACTAGTAGTTATCAATGGAGCTCTGTAATTTAGAAGAAGAAACAGCTGCATCGGAACTTACGAGAGACGAATAGAGTTCGAGGAGGAGAGGTACTGCCAGCGGTCTGTGGGTGCCTTTTCGCCGCAAAGCTCCAGCGGTGGTCCGGGACTCTCATACCACAATCGCAGCACAGCCGCCGGACACCCGCGGTCTATCCATAATATATCCATGTGACATAACAAAAAAGTTTCGTCAATAAAACTGGGAAAGATTTTCTTTGATATATCAATGATTCTGCGTTGTGCCACAAACTCAATGTTTTTAGAAATACTAGGAATAATCCATCATCATTATCCCACCTAGCCCATCTAGGCTCAACATTTGAGTCATGCTGTAAGCGGTTTTGGCCATGTTTTTTACGAGCGGCCGCTTGCCTGACATCAACCCTCCTTGGCAAACGATAAATAACAAGAATAATTCCTATTTATATTACAGGACATACGTTGGTATCATAACATCAATCGATCAGGTGACAAATACCAGGAATTTTTATACTACAAGATATACGTTTTTATTGTTTGAGAAATGGTCATAATTTCTCTACTATTCCATCTGATGATGATTGGTGGGAATTGGAAGGAAGCCAAAGAAGCATTAAATACAAATGTCATTAATTATTATACATTCGTATGTTGTCTCGTTTCTGTTAGCTGTTTTATTACCTGCAGTCGCCTGTTCCCTCACTTTAGACAATACAATCTCCCCCCCCCCCCGTTACAGTAGTAAAAAAATCAATAGTCATCTGTGTTCCAGCTACTGTTTGCACTGTCGATAGTTCGTACTCACCAGTAAGGTGCCCCTCCACGGCGAAGTTCTCAAAATTGAGCAGCACTCTCTTGCCGGGTCGCGCGGTGACGAACCAGTTGCAGACTCGAGACGCGTCCCCTCTCGCCGGCGCCTCGTAAGCGATTGGGAAACGCGGTGATGTGATCACGCCGTACTCGGCGCCCGACATGTTGCCGCCGCAGTCGCCGAAGATGGATTTTGCGGGCTGTTTTAATGTGAGCTTTATTTGGAAGCTGTCTAAGGTTCAGAGTAAACAGTTCATTTGAAATTATTTTATTTCCACCGTTGATTGGATAAAGGATTGTATACAGTTTAAGAGTTAAAACGCAGTGTTCTTAGGTTTTTGTATAATTTGTTTGGTGTACGTTAATAACATACACGAGTTTAAACCAACTAATTATGTCTGCGAAACAGGGGCGCTGCAGCGAATGCCTTTTGCGCAATCTACATATTACGCGATATTGTATTTAATATATATCTATGGATATGGGATACAATTGAAAAAGCCAAACTATTTTTTTGTAGTGCTCGTGGAAAAAAAAAATGAGAAGTAGCGGATGCATACAATCCTTTGTGCTACCCACCTCAAACACGTAGCGCGCTTTGAAGCCGGAGGCAACGGACTCCTCGTTGGTGTGCAGCGCGAGCAGCAGCCCTAGGGCTCCGCGGGGCGACTGCAGCGGACCAGGAGTGGCTGGCCCGCACCACCGCCCCAGCGGTACCCGTGAACCTTCGCGCCCCGTCCACCACGCCTCCACCCAGTCCTCGCTACACGTCGCACCGCTGGACGGCAAAGTGAACATTGTTATTTTTGTATGATTAAGGCAAAATTCAAGCCTAAACCCATAAAGTCATTGATTATTGGGAATAATTGTTATTTTTGCATAGTTATGGCGCAAAAGCCTAAACTTTCGTCAATTCTCGTTGGAAAGTGATATCCAAAAGTAAAGTCAAGTCAATAAAATTACGAGTAAGTATCAATAATCAATATACATAATAATCGATGTGAGTATGTATTTTCCTAAGGGACTCCAAATCGGCTTGACTGTTTTTGATGAAACTTTCAGACAATTTTCAGATTATGCCAGCAGATGATCATATGAAGTTTGGTAGCGATCGGCAGAACAGATTTCTTTGGATTATTAGTGCTACCCGTGCGAACCCGGAACCGTCGCTAGTAGCAATGTGTGTACGTTGAAACTATAACTATGCTAGGGCCATCTTCTACTGTTGCACGAATGGGCAGGATCCGGGGAAGTACCTCGGCCTCACAAAATACCGGCGTGAAGTGGAAGTATTAAATTTTTAAAGGTTGTCATTAAAAAAGCATGCCATTGGGTGTTATAGATGTATTTTTTTATGTAAAAAATAGCAGACGAGCTGGCGGTTCAACTGATGATAAGTAATAACCGTCGCCCAAGGACATTTGCAACACCCGTAGGGTAGCAAATGCGTTGCCACCTTTAAATAAGTGGGCCCCGGCTACCTCACTCCCCAGACGAAACGCAGAAGTTTCTACTGTCACTTCTACTTTACGCCGGTCTTCTGTATGGCCGTGGTACTTACCCGGATAGACTGCTGCACGAATGGCCTGCCCATTCGTGCAGCAGTGAAAACTGTTGCGTGGCCCTCCCACAGTAACCAATGCCCATGGACGGTGGTATTTATTTAACATCAGATGAACCGTCCGCTCGCTGGACAATATTTCCCAAAAACGCAAGCGGTAGTTACCCGTAGAGGCCGGCGGTAGCGTTCCACGCGTCCGCCTTGACCTTAAAGTGGTCGAACACGACGGTGACCTGCTCGTTAGGGTTGGCCACCAGCGTGTACGTGCAGTTGGTGCGCGATGGGTAGTTGGACGGGTAGCGGGGCGAGTTGAAGTCGCCTCGCTTCTTCGCCTCAGAGCGGTAAGTGAACGCGCACTCACCCCCAGGAGCCGCCGTGCCCGGCACTCGGTATTCTGCCGTACATGTTCACTCTTAGTCCTTTCAGGATGATTTATTTTAAAATATCAGATATTTTTTTCCACCGTAAAGGTTCACTCCTTAAGTGCGGTCCGGGCCCCCAAGCTTTCACTCTAGTATCTCTCCTATCCTATTTTCCTATTCCTAGTGAATGAGTTGGAATTCGGGTTTGGTATAGACTGGTGTTACTTTACTCTGATCTTAAATTTATTCCAGGAATGACTCAACCGTCGTGATAGCACTTTCTACTTGAATCCTTGAAATGCCTTATGTATATTGCCCGGGTAGTTTGAAGCAAAAGATAACAATGTTGAAATAAAAGACACATATCATAAGTCACTGTTCATTCCTTTACGTTTGCTTCCTCATTACTTATGAAAGTTGAAGTTACGATGTCATAGCTAGCATCATACATAGGGACCCTGACTAGATCAGAAGGTGCATTACATTAATGTATTTGGAATTAGCTACGTGACCATAAAATCAGCTCCATAAAACTCTCTTTGGTATCTTACTTAACGTTAGCATATAACGTTTAACAATTTAATGACTCCGAGTCACCACCACCACCAGTCTCTAACTCTTGGAACTGTAACCTTGAATTACAAAAAAAAACATGAAAAATGACACTTGTGAAAACCCGAGACAAATCCGAACGTTTATAAATTAGTGCAGAAGATGTAAAGCATTACCTTAGCCTAATATAATCAGTAAAACTGGCTCTTCTTTAATCAGCAAGGTCAATAACTTGCGCATTTTGTCTTTTCTAAGATAATAGATCCAGGCATTCATGATAATGGAAAATATGATAGCTAAGCACTGTTAAACTAGCACATAACTTTTGATGACTTCGTGACGCATTTGCCAAGGTATAAGCTTCGGCGTCGAGGGTCGTGGGTTCGGGGTCGGGTCTCACACGGGACAACTATTTGCGCGACCCACAGACATTTGTTTCGCATCTGGGTGTTTATTCGCGAAAACGTCCTTACGATACAGGATAATGTTATCCTAAAGCGGCGAAGCTAAGAGGAACCCACACTGGGCCGGCCTGTGGTGTAAGGCCGCTGGGGGCTGGGAGGCTTGCTGCTTATTAGCACTGGCTCTCCTGGCTCCCATGGCCCGGTCAGCGAACTCGGGGGAGTTCGTTGGCCTTGAAAATGGGGCTGAGTAGGAAGGCGCGCTGAATGTTCCAGTGCGCCTTACCTGAAGAAGGGGGGAGTTGCTCCCCGGGAGGGTTGCTGCTGAGATGGCCAGCGCTGGCAGGGCCGCGGAAGTGTGCGAAAGCGTTCCCGTGACCCTGCCGATATGCGCCTATGTGGAACATCGTGGGGGTTATAGTCGGTGCGAGTCCGACATAACCCGCTCTTGCCCCCGCGACGGCAGGTATGCGTAGGCATTTACCCCACGTCAACAAAAAAAAAATTAAGGTGTACTTGGCCTTGAAGACAGGATAATGTTATCCTAAAGTAAGAGCAATATTTAAAAAAAAAAATCAGCCACTCACCAGTCTCGAAGGTGTACTTGGCCTTGAAGCCGCGGCCCTGCAGCTCGCCGGAGCTGAAGACCATTACGAGCCGCGGGCCGTCGGAGAGCAGCGGCGGCGGGAAGGCGGGCGGGCCGGCCGCGCCCTCACCGCAGAGCTCCGCATCGTGCTTGTCGTACGAGTCTGTCGCCTCCTGCCCTCGGAGGTACACCTTCAGGTAGCCGTCCGGGCATGTGCTGCAAAGGCAAACGACTCATCCAGCGTTTCAACGGGAGACGAGTTTGTCGCGACACGCTGCATGTGAATGTCTCATCGAAACTTTCCCGACTTGTGAAATAATGCACCTCGAATTTACAGTTATTACAATCACTTCTATTATAGTCCACTCACAACCAAAAACTGTTCAGCAATGGACTCCTATTTGAGTCCACTGCTGAACATAGGTCTGAAATGATGATGATGATGAACTAAATTATTGTGTATGCTAACACTATTCTGGTGCGACTATGACAACATCAAGATTTTGGAACGAAGTTCCTTATCGCGCGTTGTGAAAGGGGGCTAGACGGAAAAAATTCTCAAAAAATTCTCACGATAAGTTGTAACGACACCTTTTGCTATAGTAAGCTATTGTAAGCTGTGCGGCGTGCGCATGTTTCTCTGTCTGTCTCTCTCACTGTTACAAGCCAATTATTACTAAAATTGAGCCTACTGATTAAGTTTATATTACATTATATTTGTTAATAATAAAAAAATATTATTATAACTTAAAAAGAATAAAATTTTATTACAATTCCTTCACTAATTAATCGAAAGGAACTTCGTTCCATCCGAGTGTCCCTTGATACCTCTAGTTTTTTATTTATGAGAGAAGGTGGAAAATGAGTTGGTGGCTCACCATGTTCCGGAAACACCACCGACAACGGATATTAAGAATAGCCACGGGATAGTAATTGTATTGAAAATCTCTTTCTCATGACGAAATCCAAAGGTAGCAATGAAAAAACTTTACTTTGATCTTGGTGCAGAAGATGCGTAGCACTACCGCACTATAATAGAATCGGTAAAATTGGTTCTACTTTTATAAGCAACCATGACAATTTGCGAATCTGTTAATTTGAATCTATTTAAGGTTAGTATTTTGTATCTTCCAGCGGACTAGTAAAGTCCTGGGCTTTTACGGATAAAGCTCAGGACTTTACGGACGGATAATGTAAAATATGCTAGCTAAGCACTGTTATGCTAGTACTTACTCTGGTTTCGGATTTTCTCCTTTTGGTATAGAAAAGTTCTGAAATTCCAGTCGGACTCGCTCCAAATTTTGCGAATCTTGCATACCATATATAAAATATCTGAAATGAGGTAAATAATCGTGATACAATCCAAATTCAAAGTGTTCTTAACGACAATGGGTCTTTCAAACAATTTCTAATAGAATTTTATTAGGATATACTCACCTACAAACAACTTTTTGTATATAAGGGAAAGGATAGTTTGGATGATACACGAATCCAGTAGATTCCTTTTTGCTTAGGATTTTCTGGTCGCACTCGGAGCCTCTGATGTGCTCAGCGTCGTGTTTACTTATAAAATCTAAAAATATGAATGAACGAATGAATGAATGAATATTTATTTAGTTTAAACACACAGTTATGTTAACAACTAAAAGAATATATAACTAAGACATGAAACCAAATAGGTATGTACTCGGTAAGATTTACCGACTTTCAGTACATACCAAAAATTTAAATTATAAATAAACTAGACTAGAGCCGTGATAGCTCAGTGTCCGGGCGCTCGCCTTTAATTCAATATACTCGAGCAACCTGAGTTCGATCCCCGGTGCCGGCACCAATGAAGTTTTTTAACTTTAAGTGCTGACTTATCACGTGCTCCGCGGTGAAGGAAAACATCGTGAGGAAACCTGCATATTTTCGAAATAATAACAAAAAAAAATATATTTCGAAGATATGTGAAGTCCGCCAACCCGCATTGGGGCCGCGTGGTGGACTATGCCCTGATACCCTCTCTATAGAGGAGGCCTTTGCCCAGCAGTGGGACATGTATAGGCTGTTACTTTACTTTACTTTACTTTAGACTAAGATTAATAATATAAAGCGGGAAAATAGAATGAATGATGACTACGTGTCGCAGTTGCGAAGCTATTGGCCTCGGCGTCGGGGGTCGTGGGTTCGATTCCCACACGGGACAACTATTTGTGTGACCCTCAAATAGTTGTTTCGCATCTGGGTGTTTGCCCAAGTGAAATTTGTGTTTGTTAAACGTCCTTACAACACAGGATAACGTTATCCTAAATGGGCAATGTTTTTATAAAAAACAAGAAAGCCGAGCCAGGAGTTTGAACAAAATAACAACAATCAAAATAAAATTGCTTGTTATTATTTTGTACATTATTAAATAGGTTTATTATTATAAATGCTCCTACATCAAACAATTACAATAGCATGGAATCTACATTATTTGAGCAAGAACATATCGAAAAACAGACCTAACTTAACGAAACTCTCGGAGAACTCGAAGATGCCTTTAAAACCGCGGTTCTGAGTGTTGGCGGCGCGCGGCAGCGTGAAGAACGTCACCAGCAGCCGCTCGTCGCTGGAGTAAAGGACTAGGTTGCGCTGCTGACCACAGTAGGTGCCGATCACCGCCGACGAATTGTCGGGCCCGTCGTACACGCGCACCCAGTCGAAGGGGCAGCTGAGGAAAGTGAATGGAAAAACTTCGATGTACACCAAAATTAGAGTAACGAGTTTTGACAGTGGTGGAGCCATCAAGAAGATAGCCCGCCTTCCTCAGAGACGGCAACACCTTTGTGTCTCTTCTGATGATGCAAGTGTCCATGGCCGGCCATGAACATTTAGCATCAGGGCGGTCCAGGCCCCACGCTTTCACGTGTAATCAATTAAAATCAGGTAGAATATCTGCTTGATTGACATAGAAAACTAAAAAAAACAACTAACGCGTCAAGAGAAATCTTATCAGAAATTCTGAGGCTGTTGTCCACGCGATCTGCCCTAATATAATAAAAACCTATATATAATAAAAAATGTCATTGAGTTATTATAGAAAAGGTGCAATTTGTTACAAGTAATAGATGTATGCTTGTCAGTGAAAGCTTGTCTGAGATGTTAACTGTAAAAGAACAGGGCTAGGTTTGTTTGCTACTTCAGATGACATCAGGTAAATACGAAACTCCAACATGCTGTACACAGTCCAAATCGTAATTGACGTCTTTTCTTGTCACAGAGATTTGTTAGATAAAGCCACCGGCATCGCACTTACTGGGGTCCGCCGAAGAACAGGTCGAAGTCGCGGAACTCGAGGCGGATTCGTTGGCCTGGCTGCCCAATGAATTGATAGTTGCAGCTGATATCCTTCGGGTAGATCCCTGGGTAGGTGGGCGACAACAGCAGGCCTGTTTTGCGCTTGGTCGCTTCGATCACGAATGAGCACAACGTGTTCGGGACCGGATTGCCGACCTCGTATTCCGCTAGGGTTGGTGAAATAAAGTCAAAGTCAATGATTCTTTCTTCAAACATTAGTAACCCACTTTATTGAAAGTGCAATGGCAACGCATCTGCAACCCTGTGGGTGTTGCAAATGTCCATGACCGGTGGTATCACCACTTAACATCAGGTGAACCACCAGCTCGCTTGCCCTAACTTTTCACTTTAAAAGATAAAAGCAAATCATCACAATAACATCTTGAGAATTATAAACATGGAAAGAAAACTTTCGTTCCTTTAAAGGTATCAAAGGCGTGATCCTGTTCATTTACATCACAGATATAAATAATAATGAATATTGAATAGACAGTAGAAGTCGAAATATTTCCTGATTAATGCAACGAAGTAAGACTATGTTAGATCAAACCATAATCCTTAAAGCGACCAAACTTAAACACATTCGTATGGCAGAAAAAGTTTATTCCTTATTAATATTTATCTTCGACCTGCATATCACCTCTAATAACGGATCATTAGTTTGAAAACGGATCTTTACTTTTTGAAAATACTAAAATCGAGTCTCATCTAAAGATATAGCTAACCATTGTCGTATGCACAGAGGACCACTTACACGAGTTGATAAAGCGATAGGTGCCAGTGAACAGCGTTGGCGGCGTGTACTGTTTGTCGGTGTAGAATGCAAGTGCGACGGCGCGGTGTAGGGAGACCCGTCTCCGCGGCGGTATTGGCCCGCAGTAGCGACCCCCGAATGCTGAGTTCACCAGCTCGCTGGCCTCCAGTGACGTCATCTCCGAGTAGATGTCCATGTACTCGTGCATGCATCTGAAAGCAACGTAGGCTCCGACGTGACGATGATGACTCCGTGGCGTAGTTGCCAAGGTGTTGGCTTCGGCGTCGGGGGTCGTGGGTTCGATTCCCACACGGGACAACTATTTGTGTGACCCACAGATAATTGTTTCGCATCTGGGTGTTTGTCCGCGTGAAATTTATGTTTGTAAAATTCCCTTACAACACAGGATACTGTTATCCCAAAGTAAGGGCAATGTTTTTATAAAAAAAAAAAAAAACAGAAAAAACCGGATCACTCATTAGTAACGAGTGCCATAAACTATGTGTGTATACCAGGTATGTGTACCCGGTAAAGTTCTGTTTTCTGACACTACCATGGACACATAAGAAGCATGTTCTGGAAAGACATGAAAATATTGAAATATAATTAATCTTCCCGCTTGTACTTTCCATGATAGAATGAGTTAATAATGAGATGTCATGTGTAATATTGTGTCTTAAATATCGATATTTCCAATTAATTGCAAAATCGTCATATAACATTGGCTTCTAAAGTATTAAAATAAATCAACGTACAGCCGACTATCTTTGTACGTGTACTAGGATATAGTCTGAAGTCTTGTAAAAGTGGATTGATTGGGTCTGAATTACTTTTACTAGTTACAGGACCCCGCAAATTGTACGGCTGAGTTTCTTTCGCCGGTTCATTTCAGGTCAGTGGGTTTTGCCAATAAATAAGTATAATGCTTCTATATTGAATAATTTGAATTTGTACATTACCATTACAAGCCCGTATATAAAGAATCAGATGAAATTATCGATATAAATAATGCAATGTGGCATAAGTTATAATAGTCCCTATAAATATTACAAATAACAGCACCAGTAATGCAAATCAATGATGTTTGTCGATCTGAAATGTTAATGTGGCACATATTTTGCTTGTATAATATTAATTAATGGCTACCAAATTATCCTTGGACTATTTGCAAAAATGCTGCCAGATTTCAATCTCCATTAGAGTTACTAAGTTTGCCAAGGTTGTACAGTACGAGAATCCATTTTGATGGACGTGATAAATAAATAAATCATATAAGAGATTGTCTGCAGAGATACAGGAATAGTTTGACCTAATATCTGCTCCAAATACTGGTGTTGATATTATTTATACACGACCTTTTAAGTCAGCGTCAGTATCGCAACAGTCAGTGCTTGCAACTATCTAGTCTAGAGTTTCAACTACACTGAACTGGAAATACTAACAGTGCAAAGAGAAAAAAAAAAAAATTTAGCACTTTTCTGTCATAAGTTTAAAATTCTTTTTTTAAGTTTGCTGTACTTTTTAATTTTAATTAAATAGTGTGCAAAACGTTTATTTATCAAAATTCAAAATATCTTTATTCAAATAGAGCCACCCTTGCGTGTTCTTATGAAGCATCGAATTTTACATAAATAATTAATACATAGGTTTGTAAATAAGTTACCACCGGTCAATGAGTCACATTGTCACGTTGAGTATAATTTCACAATTTTCTGTGTTGCTGTATTTCAATTTATGTATATTAAAACCTTTAAACCTGTTCTTTTTTGAAACTTAGTAATTAAAACGATTACAGAGAAATAAGAAAAGATAATATTAGATTTTCTTTTTTTTAACAGGAATTGTAACCTAAACTACGTATTAATCATCATCATCATCATCATCTGAGCCTGTTTGAGTCCACTGCTGAACATAGGCCTTTCCCACAGATTGCCATGAAGCACGATCCTGAGCCACCTGCAGCAGCGGAGCCACCGACTTCCCGCACACTTGGACAGGTCGTTACTCCATTTAGTGAGGGGTCGTCCAACACTTCGATGGCCAGTACGAAGCTGCCTCTCGAGAACCTTTCTTACCAACGGTTATCAGTTCTACAAGTTATATGGCCGGAGCAGCTTACTGACCTTCTGGGCTAAGTCGGTTACCTTTGTTCTAACTAACTACGAATAAATGATAATTAAAAATTCTAAATTTGGACGCCCAGCTAGTTGCAATGAAATGTAAAAGTTCCAAGGGGCCACAATTATACGTACGTATTGATATTTTTTATTAGCCAAATCAATTAATTATTTGGACAAAGTTTAAAATCTCTTTATAATATTGTTAGAAAAAACTCGAAACATCGAATGGCAACACTGCACCGGGCTATAAAACGAGCAGCGCTCACCGTGTTCGTTCAGTTTTTTTTTTAAATCAGTTATTGATTTATTTCTAACAATATATTATATTATACTATTGGTAAAATTGATTCTTAGGTATTAGTAGAATTCTAAAATGGAACTTAAAAGTTAGTAATGAATTAGTTAATGGCTAATTTGACAAATATTAAGTATCCACTTACGCTGGTAGTTCCCCGACTGCGGCTCCACTGAAAAACGAAAAGTTAACGTTCAGTTAACAAAGAGTTGTTAGAGCACTTTCTTTTTTTAATATTAGAGCGACATTTCAAGAACCTTATTTTTATACAGCGTGTCGTTACCACCGCGACAATAAATGAACACACGTCTAACGCTACTTGCCAAGAATCATAAAAAAATATTAACGTTAAAAAATCCATACTTAAAAAAAATATTTTTCAAACAAACTAATTAAGTAGAAAAGAAACAAAATTTGTAACATCCTATACAGCTACAACTGACTGATTCATACATTCACAGACTTTTTCATTCGTTGCCACAACGTCGCATTACAAGCCTCTCCTTCTAACAGTATGTTTTGTCTCTTTTAAATTCATTCAACCCATTCATATGTTTTGTGACCTTTACAAATGAACTTTACGTTACAGTTTTATCCGTAAGGATGTTCTAAAATTCTTTACTTTGGAAAATTGAATAACTCTGTAAATATTGATGTTTAAAGAATTTAAATGTTTAATACAATTTTAAAAAGTTATCCTCTATATGTGTGTTCAATTATTGTCGCGATTGTAAAGACACGTTGTATTTCCTATGTATTATACTTCTTTGTTACAACACTAACGAAGTCACTGAACTAAGAATGAATACTAAATCGGAAAAAACTACAGGAATTTTATTTTTGATTCTGACCCGAACGCGATTATTTTCTAGTTATTTATTTTGATACTGACATTGAACATTTAAGTTCAACATTAAATAAATAAATATTTCAGGACACATTCTTACACAACGTTTTCCAGTCCCAAACTAAGCAACGCTTGTACTATGGGTACTAGATAACTGATGAACATACTTAAACATACTTTTCTTTTGTAAATATATGTATATTATAAATATATAAAAACCCACTCACTGAAAAAACCTTATGTTCATTAAAAAATATTTTTCCAGTAGTGGGGATCGAATCCACACCCTCTGGCGCTAGAGGCAGGGTCACTTCCCACTACGCCGTAAGTAAAATATACTTTTTAAATATAAAATGAAACTTATTAGATTTGCAATTGCTGTAATATGTTTATTTCACTTATTTATATTGAGACCTTCCGCCATAAATGAAAATGAGATCATTATCTCATGTTAAAAAAAACATATTATAATTACAAATTTGCGCGTAAATACGTATAATTACGGATTTGCGCGTAAATACCTATAATTACGGATTTGTGCGTAAATACCTATAATTACGAATTTGCGCGTAAACACGTATAATTACGGATTTACGTGGTCACTCACTCTGGCGGCTTCCCGCGCAGGTTGAAGGTGCGCAGCTCGACGAGCACCCGTTGGCCCGGCGCCGCGATAAACGTGTACAGGCACAGCCGGCTGATGTTGTTCGGGTTGGACAGCTCCGGGGCCTGGAAGGTGCCGCTGAGCGCGCCGCCCCGGCTCACGAAAGACTCGTCGCACTCTGCCGAAAGAACGGTCGCTAAAATTTTTGTAGGAAAAGTACGGAAAGTTTGTCGCTGCTGTGGGAATCAAACCCACGTCTTCGGCATTCGCGGCCTGAACGATCGCTGTTAAGAAAGCACCACAGAAGTTAGCACAGCCTGTTACTCTTTACTCCTATCTTCAATAGTTACGAGCCCAACTCGGTAAAGAGAAAACATTTACTTCCCCCCAATTTCTGAACCCCGAGAAAAGTCCGCTGTCAGCGCGTCTATTAACTTAGGTGGACAACAAAGAAGAGACACCTGACAGCAAGCGCCACCACCCATAGAAGTTCGCACACTGGAGTATCCGTATACGACTTTAAAAGCTTCTACGGTCTACGCCGTAGAGTTTCGTAACCGAAGAGGCGTACGGTTACGACTCTCGCCCGGCACATATCAAAAATCTACTTCACGATACGATGATTCCTGGAGCCGAGAAAAGTCCGCTATCGCCGAGAAAAGTCAGCACGACTCCAGTCGGCACCCGTTTATTAACTTAGATGGACAATAAACAAGAAACACTTGATAGAAAGCGCCGCTACCCATAGAAGTTCGCACAGCGGAGCGCTGGGTTACGACTACAAAAGCTCCTTCATTCTATGTTTTCATTAAAGTCGCCCTAACCGGAGAGTCTACGGTTACGATTCTCGCCCGGCAAATAGCAAAAATCCATTTCACACCGATTCCCGAAGCAGAGGAAAGTCCGGTGTCAGCGCGTCTCCATTCAGCGCCAGTTTTTAACTAAAGTGGAAATCTAACAAACAGCACGTGATAGCCAGCGCTACGCTTAGAAATTCGCACACCGGGACACAAGGTTATGACTACAACAGCTTCCCCCTACACCGTAGAGTCTACGGTTACGATCCTCGTCAGGGAAACAGCAAAAACCTACTTCACGCCGATATCTGAAGTCGAGTAATGTCCGGCATTCCGTCTATTTACCATGGTATAGCCGCGCAGCAACGTCTGCTGTTATAGAGTCGCATTATAAAATGCTATATTTTTTATCTGACAAGCACTTTACTATCGTTCAACTTGATCGGTATCCTTGTCCGACTGTGATCGCTGTTTAATCTCTATTGAAGCTAGTTAAAATAAATTATTTTAATCGTATCACTAATGCCTTTAAATGTGTTATTAATCAACCATTCATTTATAATCATTAGTGAGAGCGTCTTTTGTTATCTGCCAGTAAACCGTTGTAAACTTTGTAAGAATGTAAGATATGTATTGTATCCCTGATAAATACTTAAAATAAATAGGAACAAAATCTTTTACGTATCTGAACAATGAATCTTCCACGGTCGCCCTTGAGATTGTTTCCAAATAAAAGGTTCAGAAATTAAATTATAAATGACATTAAATTTGCCATTGTGTTGAAGCTCTTAAGTTTCTATTATCGAGAGAAAAAGTCTCGACCCTTCTTGATTGCGATGCAAAATCTTGCCATAAATTGGGTCAAGTTTGACAAAGGCTTCAATAATGTCGTACTCTTTAACCATCTACTACGTCGTAATCATAAATATGTATTTTTCTATACAGTTTTCACATAAACATTTCCTATTCACTCAGTTTCCTGAGCTAGAACGTTCTTTGCTTACATTCATACATATGCACGTAGATTTTAACACTATTTCAGGGAGTTTATTGACAAAACAAATTCCATTGCGAACGATTACTTCACTAAAATCAACTAAATTAAAGAGTTACGGTAGTTTGTTTTACAAAGGTGATTATTAATCAGATTTAATCTGTGCTTTGTCGCTTTTAGTTAATACTACAGATATACCTACAATGTAAATTAAGTACCGGTAAATTGGAATTTAGCAAGCAAAAGACAACTATTATTTTACCATAATATACTTGTTTAAAATAGTACCTACTGCTGGGCAAAGGCGTCCTCTACCAAGAGGCCATATTACACCACGCGACCCCACTGGGGATTGGCGATTATCACATTGTGTTACAATTATTTTTGTTATTATTTCGAAAATCTAGGTTTCCTCACGAGGTTTTCTTTCTCTGAGCCCGAGATAATATATTTGTATGTTTTCCGTTGTTTTTTATTTATATTGCGTGACTTTAATAGAATCGTAACAACAAAATTGTTCATCGGTACTGTTGTTCAACATAATCAAGCACAAATTCGATATGTCATATAATTTTTATTTCTACATCAGTTATTTTTGAATATTAAAGCATACAAATCTCCAGACATTAAAATTATCTATTCGCGACGCTCAAAATAAAAATATGCTTTTTAACATCTGCTTCATATGGAAAAAAAATAAAATAAAGACAAGAAGTGGAATCCGCCCCAGAAACCACCGCGGGTTTCATTGTTTCAATTTAAAACGGTGCCGGCTAAAACCTTCCATTAAATGGAAACACACGATGTTTCATAAACTTTCTTTTCACGTGAGTGTTTGTTACCTGATTAACTTTGTTTGCACCTGTAGATAATTTATTAAACTTGTATTTTCTGTAAAAGCACTGAAAATTTTGGCCACCTGATTGGCGTGTGGAGTAGTGAGCCTGCCTTGTGCGCCAGAGGGTGTGGGTTCGATCACCACTACTGTAAAAATATTGTTGATTGAACATAGTGTTTTTCCAGTATCTGGGTGTATATGTGTGTAATAAGTATATATTTCAAAGAAAATGTATGTTTATGTATGTTTATCAGTTATCTAGTACGCATTGTACGAGGCGCTGTTTAGATTGGGACTAGAGAACGTTGTGTAAAAATATGTCCGAAAAATAGTGTACCTAATGGCTTGTACGGTGTTCGACTCCGGTTAGAATCATAATTTGAAAAGTGATTAATAATCTAGTGTTAGAATTACTACACGTTGTTTTTGTAAATGGTAGCAAGCGTACAAGCAGTTTTCCAAATGTTTAGTGAATATCGTCGCCAGTTAACTGTTACAAATAAGGTACATACAGACTCCAAATAAGAGCGACTTTATACTTTCTTCTTATCGATTCGGAATGATCGTTTGCGACAGGTTTTGCGTGAAAAATTGGTATCGATGGTATTTGGCGCATCAACAGTTTTAACCCAAAACTTTGATTTAACATCAATTTTTGAAAAACAATAAATAGGATGTACCAAAAAAAAGCTATCCTACAAAAAAAAACTTCGTATATCTGTTTTTTAATCTGTAAATTGTAATGACACGAGGCTTCTTCGCGCCATTAAAAGTTTTTCCCGCTCCCCACTTTGCGTTGGGGCTTACTATATTAAGAACTTCGTTAAGAGGGATTTTTGTAGCACTTTTCTCTTTACTTTGGTTCGTGGTTAGTTTCCGTGACCTTTCTGCTCGGAACTCCTGTAACTTTATCATGAATAAACTTTAATGATGATAGTTTGTAAGGTAAACGGTAAGGCACAAGCTGTGGTTGCTGTAAAGAACAATTTAATATTAACAATGCTAGAGGATCATGAGTAATAGAATTTCAGATTTCGGACACTCATCTTTTAGTTCATGGTCGTTGTGGCACGATTCGCGGCCCTATTCAATGATAAGACATCGGTGCTTTCTAATTTGGAAGACTGGAAGCCTGAAATTACAACCAGACCTTAATAAGATCGCAAGTCGAACCTATTAATCACAAAGCTAACGCTGTCTTTACAATTTACTAGATCAGTTGTATTTACATCTAGATATGAAAAAAATTGCTGAACCAACCTAATTCACGCATGGAAATCTCGGTATACAACAATCTAATATTAAGAAATGACGACAAGTTCACTTTAAGAAAAAAAGGCTAAAACCGATATATTTTTGGTGAGCAATTACATTTTATAAAGAAAATAACCAAAAGTTTTCACAGGCCATAATGCAAGGGTTCTTTGCTTTAAAAATTTCAGATTTTTCTCCTATGGTCTGTCTTGTTTTGTCCTGGCCTTATATTAAAAAAAAAAACAAATTAGTTGGAAAAAACTTCTCAGACAGGATAAGGGAGTATTTTTAATAAAAATAGAAAAGGCTAAGGTAGACTTTTGCTTGCAAAAAGATAAAATTTAAGAGAATAAACACTGACGGAAGGGACGCATTATATATATGATTCTCATACTCAATTTTGCAATATTTTTGGTCCAAAATCTCTACGACGTTATCAGGAAAGAAGGGTAAAGATAAAACTTATTCACGCGATAAATATACCCTTTAACAGTTTTAAATAAGAAGGCATTCAAGGGGAAAATAACTTTGCTCCCTTCCCAAAATTCTTAGTATGCTAGGCAATTTATTTTTTTACATTGTTACTGTACTTTTTTCTGACATGAAGACTCTTTTTTTAATTTTCTAAAGTAACAAAATGATTTTTATGGCCGCAGATAAATTTATATTTAAAAAATAAAATTGGTCAATGATGGATAATGATAATCAAGTGTGAACAGCGTGTATAGAACCAATAGGAAAATACTTGCTGTGTATAATTTTAAATTTAAATTGATAATTATTTGCCCTAATAATTATTGAACATTTGTCTTTTTTTTTTATGTGAGAACGTTGCAAGCGAACTGGTGGTTCACCTGATGTTATGTGATAACCTGCAACAGCGAAGACTGTTGCGTGGCCCTACCGTAGGTACAGATGCATTTTTTAGCGGAAATAAAAATGCGCGTTTAATTCAATATTAAATAATAAATTAAACGCGATAAAAGCCGAAAAGTTTGTTTCTTACAATGTATGTATTCGAATAAATAAATAGTTAAAAAGAGTTTTGGAATTTCATTACGTATTTCAGGTTCTCAAGTGGTGGCGTTAGAATGGCCACAAATCCGAGTTTGCTTTAATGTATTATGTAAGGGTGTTGGCGGGTTACATTCAAGAAGCGTATGGATCACAATGGTCTGATTTTGAAATATGTTAGGGTGATCAATGTGAGTTTTAATATTAAATCGTGCGACAGTGAATTGGTCGGTGCTAGTTTACGGTGAAGGCACTAAATTTCGGCTAGAACAAGATCTCTTGTGACGTGATAAGTATTACAAAAGATGAACATACAGAGATTGAAAAGATGAACGTATATGGAATGTGAGAATGCCCTTTCCAAATGTGTTTAGGCGAAAAATTTAAGTAGTCGTAGGATGTCCTTTTTTATTTAGCGTTATCATTACTGCAGAGTGAATTACATGTTTAGTTAACTGCATGCCCCGCGTTCCTTTATAGAATTTAACAAAGGGGACCCCCCACAAATGTTTGCAGCATCAAAGCTCCAGTAGAGATCTTATTGTAGCGGCTTGTGTAGACCTTATGTAGACGTACTTGGAAGCTTAGTAGGCGAAGGTTCAGCGAGCGAAGCCAGGCTTGTGAGCTCCGTGGCCTCTCCCGCGATCGCTGCACAGAAACAACAACTCGTTACGGCCTGGATTTGCCGGGCTCATAGGGGATATATCCTACTGTCTTGCTACACTTAAATTTCACCTGGCTGTGTTCATTATATTCATGACCACCTCGCCTACCAGCACGGGGAAGCGAACACAACTCGTACACAAGGTACAATCGCGTTCCAGTGTACCTCTAACCGTAAAATCTTTTAATTGGCCATAGTAACTGCCTGTACATGTCCCACTGCTGGGCGGGTCCCACGGGTGGACTATCCACCGCGAGGCCCCGCTGGTTATTGGCAGATTTCACATATCTTCGGATTTTTTTGTTATTATTTCGACAATATACAGGTTTCCTCACGATGTTTTCTTTCACCGTTTAGCACGTGATAAGTCAGCACTTAAAATTAACAATTTCATTGGCGCCGGCACCGGGGATAAAAAGAAACTGATTTACGGTTTTTATCGTATAATGCATCGGACATATTACGGTAAACATTTCATTTCCGTACATGAGTTTTATTATACCATTAAATCCGAAAGAATTATGTATATTTCTTATTACACATTCATCCAAAATAAGGAAGTTCATCGTTAATTCATCAGCGTTAGATTAGAGTTTCATACGGTATTTTTGAACATCGTTGTATTGTAACATTTTGTAACGTTAACGTTTTACAAGGATTAAGATTTTTAAAAGGAATTTAAAATTTCTTCCTATTTGTAGCTTGGTTTTATTACTTCATAGAAGGTAGGTTCCATCCAATTGTAGGAAAACGCGATACCTAGTCTTATGCGATAAATTACTTTAATTTTATTTAACGTATAGTAAAGAAGATTTGTAAATTCGTTGTTTATAATTCTTTAAAACTGTAAAAATGTTGTTTTTACTGTTCTTTGGAGATTCAACTTTATCTAGAAATAGATTCAGTTTCAAACCTAAGTATGAAATTGGCATGATTGTTATTACATCGAGTCAAAAGCCTTATATAATAATTAATAGTGTACATCGTTTAACATCTAGGAAATCAAAACATAAACAGTTGTATGCTCGAGGTCAGTTCATGATAAAAAGCAAATAAATGATCCGTGACAGGAATTAGTTAAAAGTTTCTGAAGCAAAAATGTCTCTTAAATACAGTTGAGACATACAACAAGAGAGTTTATTATTCTTATCAAATTCAAACTCAACATAAAATGAGTGTAATGCTCCTAATTAATGCTCCGCATTACACTCATTTATGATAGTCAAAACATTACCATCATAATTCAAAAAACTGTTCGCGCCCTGACATTGCATTATTCACACAAGTTAATGGAGTCGCGAGATATTTCCCGAGTCTGGTAACTTCAGTGACAGCGGGAAATGCTTTGTAGTGAGTAACGAACTAACAGTAGAACCGTTTCCACGAATTTAGCGACCTCCGACTCCGCTTCAACTGATAAATGTTCGATAAGCTGGTAACTTACGGTTTGATGAGAACCAGGAATTTGTGATGTGTTGATTTCTATTACATTTTAAATTTATTGTGTACTTATAAAGAAAAATTTGTATGGGTGTCGTCTCCGTGATTTATTTCACTATTGCCTGGCAAAAGGAATAGTCGACAAGCGAAGTGAGTATCACTGCCCATGGACTCATCTGCAACCCTACGGGTGTTGCAAACGTCCAGGGGCGGCGGCTATCATTTTACATCAGCTGACCCGCCAGCTCGTTTGCCACCTTCTCACATAAAAGAAACTTGAACATTTCAGATGCATTGATAAATAGTTGTGCCCAGTTACCTAACTCACAAGATTAAACGCGAAAGTACATTTAACAACAATACAACAGTACTTCCATTTCACGCTGACCTTCTGTGAAACCTTTCCGCCTGCCCATTCGTGCCCATTCGCTGTGCTGTTCCAGCAGGTGCTGCATAAGTCTAGCACAGTAAAAGGAGTATTTAAGGAACCCGTCTTTTGTGAATCACAACCTAAATATAATACCACAAAACTACAGTTTACTTAAGACGTAATGAAACAAAATACGTAATAAATATATATATATATATATATATATATATATATATATATATAGTGTGAGAAAATGGACATAGCCTCTCGCCACACAAGCCACTTGAACCTAGTGTCATTTCGTAGTCCGAAAGTCGTCATTTTACATTAATTCATTTAATTTCTTAATAGTTCGGTTTCTGTGACATTTTAACATTATAAATTATAAAATATACTATTGCATTTAACTATGATTAAATATATCACCAAGACTACGCACTGCAAAAGATTGAAATATGGGGCTCTTCGCAATGGAGGGTTGTTTTGAAAAAAAATTATAGTGGCGACCTATTTTTGCGGGCGGGTGCTCTTATGGACGGGTTTTGTTATTCACTCGCATCGCTGCTGCGTAATTTTTATTTTTATGAAAATATATATTTTTTAATGCATTGTATGACATTTTTAAATACAAGCACGCCCCCAGCTTAAGGGCGCTTTGTTTCAAATTACAGGAATGTGAACATTTTCAGAGAGTTTAATATTGCCGGAGTAAAACTGTTTCTTATTTCACATAAGTTTAATGTTCATTTACTTACAAGGTCAATTTCTCCTAACATCATCTCAACTTGTTGGGGGCTGACAGAACATATGAATCATGCCGTTAACGTCAAAGTCTAGGTCTTTTACGAACAGCCTGTCTGAGGTCAAAACTTCATGGGAATAAACACCCAGATCCAGCGAAATCTGTGTGTCTCACAAATACTTGTCCCTTGTTGATTCAAACCCATGACCTCTAGCACTGAAGTCAATAGCTTAGCAATTTCGCCACCAAGTCGCTGAGTTAATTCTTAAGTGCAAAGATTAGCACTATAAACAATTTAAATTTGTATACAAGAGTGTTTTATAAATATACACACACTCTTGTGAAGTTTATTTTACGTGTTGATTATTATGTACTAGCGACCCGCCCCGGCTTCGCACGAGTGCAATGTATTTATACTTATAAATCTTCCTCTCGAATCACTCTATCTAGTAAAAAAAACGCATCAAGATCCGTTGTGTAGTTTAAAGATCTATAGATATCTAGATCATAGGGTCAGACAGACAGCGGGACGACTTTGTTTTATACTATGTATTGAATGTATACTGATTAAGTTTATGAATAATAACTTAATATGTTTTTATTATAATGAATAATAAAAAATTTATTTTCATAACTTGAAATATACTTATTAGGGCATTAAGACACCTTACTTGCATTATTCTTACATTATAGTTTTTGTAATAATCTTTTACTTAATTAATCTCAAACGCTGTTTATTTATTACAACTAAATAACCAAAATTATAACTTAAATTATATTATTGGGGGAAACGAAATTCGTTCCAACAGAGTGTCCCACGACACATCTCGTTTTTTTAATAAAAATCAGGTCGATTGGTAAAAATGGATGACCTGATATTTCATACGTTTATATTTTTCTTGTTTTCCTTTTAATTAAAAGTATAAAGTTATACAAAACCGAACCGAATTAATAACGTTTAGCTATTCGGTCGGAAAACGTAACTGTATATCAATTTTGCATTTTAATTTTTATAGAAAGCTCGGAGAACGCTTTTACTAAAAACTTATATATTGCATAACTTTTTGCAATTAAACACCGAACGTATAGTGGTGATATTTTGGTAGTAAAAAAATAAAACAAACTGGCTCGTAAAGAAATTAAAGTAAGAAATTTCTAAAACCACCTGAAATAAACCGATTCCGAATAAATACAATTGCACCTTGACAACATGGCCGTGCCGGAAGTTCAGCCATCTTGATTATCTCGGGCGGATATTGGGTATGCGCGGGGCTCGAGCGGGAGATATTGCCTCCATTTGTTAGCTGCGGTTATTTTACGTTTATGCACAGGTTTATGCGAACAAAATACGTTTGAAATGTATTTCAAGTAAGTTAAGATATAAAATCAGATAAAGAAATAGATTCCAAGGGATACGTTTAACGTAAGAAATCCGAAAATGTATAAGAAACGTTAAATTCACAATTATTTGCTCTTTATTATTTAAAATTTTAAAAATGCATCCGATTATTTACTTTTAAACTCCAATTTTAAAGTTGTAAAAGCTCTTCTAGTTCCAGTTGAGTTCAGGTAACAGAATCAGTGACAAAACATCACCAGGCAATTTGAACTATTTTGTGATCGTTTGATGGTGTGATCATTTACTTGGTTCTAATCGATATACGACAAATCAACTTGTGAAATATCAAAACACTGCTTGCATTTAAGAATGCAAATTCAATTATAACTATTAGGTTAAAAACATTACTTCAAATAATTAAGTGATCAGATATTAGTCATTAAAACTTTTAAAAAAATCAGTTACATGACTCAATGGCGCCGTTGCTCTTAGCTTCGGCGTCGAAGGTCGTGGGTTCGATTCCCACGCGGGACAAGTATATGTGTCACCCAAAAATAATTGTCCCGGATCTGGGTATTTGTTTTCCAAGGGGGGTTGACGTCATGCAGGCCGGAAAGAACGTAGCTGAAACCGCTTACAACATTATTCACCTGTTTTGCCGACTAACGTTTTGACGATAAACTTATTTCGCATTAATGTTAAACCGTAAAAATTCTTGAATTTTTCAACCAATTCTGTTGTATCACAAAATTTAAAAAGCAATAATTTTTGATCGTTTGATGGAATTATTACCCCTGACTCCTGATCACCATTAACTTGTTTCTTTTTTTGTAAAATGTTGTCTTTTACAAAAAAATAAACAATCACTCGAATTCAATTACCCCATAAATGCTGCAAGTGTCTTAAAAAAGGTGAGTGGTGCTAGATTCAAAGCTGCACTTTGATAAGCATATTAATAACATAATCAACAGGGCTTTTAGATTGAAAAGATATGGTGTATTTTTTTTCAAGGACTTTAAATCTTTCTGCTCTCCTAGTTTTATACAATACCTTAGTTCGTTTTCAATAACAATTTGCCGTTCGATTATGGCATCTCTTCTATAAAAATTAAACATTTCAAGATTAGAAACTGCAAGAAGGTTTTTACGCACTTCAAATGTCTCTCTAAGTTTTCTACGCACAGTTATTAGAAAAATGTGAATTATTGAGTTTGGAGTCTAGACGCAGTTTCATTATAGTCATGCTAGTGAATCCTATATTGACTATGTAACAATAAATTAGACTGTACGAAACTCACTAACAAGATAGTTTATATTGTATAAAGAAAGTGCGCTGACTATTCTAAAAAACTTGTTTTTTTAGCCAACCCTCACCCGGGTGTGTATAATGGAAGAGAGAGTTCACTAGCCACTAAGAAATCGGTTCAAAATGTGAAAAATACATATTGAGGTTAAATTTTTACGATTATGTGTAATTACAAATAATACAGAAATTAAGTTAATTATTATTTTTATCATTACCCATACGAAGACAATTTTATTAGCATGCTGTTTTTAAGAATTTTAAAGTAGACCGAACGTTTTATTTTATTTTATTGTGCTTTATGGTTGTAATGGAAGTACTTATTATAGGGCTTATGGCTCATTGAGGAATACAATACATCAACGCATAAAACACTTTTACAAAGTTATAATTACAGTTGCATAGAAAAACTCAAGCGAGAAAAATTAAGCTCGGGCTTACCGACTCACCAACACAAAGCTACCGGCCGCCATTGTTGATTGCCCTTTTGTTTTAAATTTACCTCAAGCCTAGGGAACAGTAAATCGCGGATACAGCCAATTAGATAATACAACAAAAAAAGTTAAGAATTTGCACGCTAAAATGAAAAGTAATGGTACGAAAAAATAGTTCACCGCTGATATATTTAATGTGCCTAATAACGCTCATAAAAAAGTTGTAGAACTATTTTTTATGTGAGGAGGTGGCAAACGAGCCGGCGATTAACCTGGTAAATGATCACCATAACCCATTGACATTTGCAACACCGGTAGCGGTGCGGATGCGTTGCCACCATATAATAAAAGTAGGCCCCGGCAACCTCAACCAAACGAAACGCAGAAGTATACAGCGTGTCTTTACTATCGCGACAATAAATGAACACACATATAGAGGATAACTTTTTAAATTTGTATTAATCATTTACATTCTTTAAACATCAATATTTACCGAGTTATCAAATTTTCCAAAACAAAGAATTTTAGAACACCCTTACCTATAAAACTTTACTGTAAAGTTCATTTGTAAAGGTCACAAAGCATATGAATGGGTTGAATGAATTTAAAAGAGACAAAACATACTGTTAGAAGGAGAGGCTTGTAATACGACGCTGTGGCGCGAGTTGTATAGGATGTTACAAATTTTGTTTCTTTCTTACTTAATTAGTTTGTTTGAAAAATATTTTTTTAATTATGGATTTTGTTTAACGTTAATATTTTTTATGATTATTGTCAAGTAGCGTTAGACGTGTATTCATTTATTGTCGTGATGGTAACGACACGCTGTATAAAACTTCCACTTCTTGCCGGTCTTCTATGAGGTCGTGGTACTTCCCGGACGGACCCGCCCATTCGTGCAACAGCGTAGACTGTTGCGTGCGAAAATGTGTCCTGAAATAATCATTAATATTTAATCTGCCTTTTCGTTTTTCTGTCACAGCACAATATGACTAGCAACAATGCAAAAATTAACATTATAATATTCTATACAAATTCTTTGGTATTATAAAAATCATAGAATTATTTTTATTCAATCTACACAACCTCTTCGCAACGAAGTTGTCATCGGGTCATTCAATGAAAGCGGCACGTATTTTCATATTTCCAGTTATAAATGGTACAGAAATATTTCTACGGCATCTTTGCATTGCGAATTCGAAAATATACTCTAATAGAAAGAAAAATTCTAACGCGAGGAATTCCATTAGGACTTGGAATATGAAATA